ACTAGTATGTTTCGTACTATTAGCCTAACTTAGCCTGGGTTAGGCTACCCCTATAAGATAGGGTAACCTAGGGTATAGGTTTTACCTAACCTAAGGGTGCCCTACTTAGGCTTCTATAAATGAAACGCTTTAAATACCGGTATATTTTGTACTATTAGCCTAACCTAGCCTAGGTTAGGCTACCCCTATAGGATAAGATATAAATATAAGTATAGTAAAGAAAGTAAGAGAGAGATATTATAACTTATAATTAAGAATAATAAGTAGAGATTAAAAGTAATAGATCGAATAGACTAAGATATTAGCTTTATATTAATTAACTTATAGGCTTATAGAGTATAAAATAAGTAGGCCCTTATATAAAACCTAATAAAAACCTAGTAAAAATCTAGTAAAAAACTAGTAAAAACTTAATAAAAATCTAATTCCTATATTAATTTAGAAAATCACTTAAGAATCTTTTACCCTAAATACTTAGTCTTAACTAAATACTTTAGAATTAAGAGATTATTAAGTAAATATAATAATATCTAGGCACTAATAATATTTATTTTTACTAGAAACTACTCTCTAATAAAGAAGATTTATAAAATTAGACTAATTTACTATTATTCTAATTATTTCCTTAGTATTAGAAAGACTATACTAGAATTATATATTATAAATATATATTTCTACTACTTAAATATATAAGTTTTCTAACTCTACTAATTATAGTATTATTTCATAGGAAATTTTATATTCTATTAAGTAATTAATATATTACTAGACCTTAAATACTAATAAATAAGGATATTTTATTAAGTTTGACTTATTATACTACTAAATATTCAAGTCTTTCTTAATATAACTAAAATAAGGAAAAATTATAGTAGTTAATTTAGATAAGTAAGGCACTTTATATAGAGAATTATATAAAAGTTAGGTCTAATTAGGTTTTTATTAGGTTATCCGGTGAACCTAACGTTAGGTCCGGTATAGGCCTAGGTCGGGGGGTTTGGCACTAGACCTAACCTAGGTCCGGTGCCGGGTCGGGATATTCGACCTAATTCCGGTGCGTACGGAAGTCTAAGAATATTATAAGATAAGTACCTTCGATACTTATTTATAAAGCGAATAACTTTATACTAACTTTAACTAAATATTTTCTTATAGTTAGGATAGCGAATATTATACTACATAGCTTAAATCGATAATTTCTAAATACCCTTATATACTACCGGAAGAGGTAGGTTTATAAAATATAGATCTATAGTAAATCTAGTAAGCTCTTATAGCGCGAGTTAGCCTAAGAAACTTAAAGTAAAGCTAACTTTATAATAATTTTAATGTATATATATACAAATATATTCTATTATTTAATTCCTATAGTACGAAACCCTTACTAATCGAATAATAACTAGTACTTATACCCTTAATAATAATATAGATATAGTATTACTAGGGGTTAATCTTAGCGGCCTAGATTATTAATTATCTAGATAAATAGTATCTAATAACTAAGGACCCTCTAGTAATACTTAAGTACCGCCTACGGCCTACTTATACTATATTCTAAGTTATAATATAGTATATCTATCGTTTTCCTTTTATATAAATATAGAAATTCTAGAACTAGATAGATATAAAATCTAGTTTAGGATAAAAAGCACTAAGTATTTACCTATAATCTACTAAGTATTCCCGATATTATATCTTAATAAATAGATATATATAGTACTAAGGGTAAACTAAATAAGTAGACCCCTAAAAATATAATATAGACTTATTAGAAGCTTCTAAGGATATCTAGATAAAAGAAACTACCGAGGTATCTAGGTAGAATAGCTATAATAGGTATATAGGAAATTAAATATATTATATATTTATTATAGACTCTTCTCCTAAGAATACCCGAACGAAAAAGGTATACTATAGTAATACTCCTCTCGGGATAAATACCGATAAAAATACCTATTAATTACTTATAGAATACAAAACCTACTAGCAAAATATATAGTAAATATAGGTACCTAGGAGCAAATATAAGTCAATTACTTTCAGATCTATTAGAATACAAGGGCAGTAGGAGCAATATAGTATCTTCGAGGAATATATTATATATAAAATACCGTTATTACTCGATTGTGAAAGGAATACCGTAGTAAAAACTTTACCTTCGGATTACGGTAGGATAATAGTATTTCCGATTAGAGGATCTCCTAGATAGTCTTTCCACCTTTCTATAATACCTATAGATATAACCCCTTATTCCGTATTAAAATATCTATTAATATTACACTAGAGGTAGAAATAAACTAGTCGCGGATAGAACTTTGAAATGTAGTTATATCTTTAGGTTTCATTAAGAACTTGAACTTTTGAATAAACTAGGCTAGAATAACCCTTATCTCTATAAAAGTAAGGCTCTTCCTAACGTAAGACGTGACTCCGTAACCGAATAGGGCGAAGGCCTTAGTATTATAAGGCCTAGATACCACTAGTTCATTTATCTATCGGTTAGGAATAAAGTTATCGGGTTAGTAGAAGTTTCGGGGGTCTCGGTAGATAGAGAAATAGTACGTTAAAATAACGGTATTCGTAGGAATTAGAACACTACCTAGGAGAACTAAAGGAACTAGCATTTCTCTCTATAGGCCAGAAGCTACTACTAGCCATAAACGGAGAGCCTTATTTAGGCTTATATTAAGTAATAGCGTATTATCTCTTAGTTTTTAGAAATCGTTAATTAGACCACTATTCGGGAAAATAACGTCGATCTCCGTATATAAACGCTTAATAAGCTTAGGCTTCTTTAAAAGCTTAAATATTATGAATGCTAGGGTATTAGAGGTTATATCACTCCTAGTAACGACTATAAGTATATAGTCTTAGTGAAGCTCCTTCTTAGTAAGCGGGCGATATTTCTTACCTTCGTCTCTAAGGAGGTACGTAAATATATCAGCCTCCGCGGACTCGCCCTTATCGGCCTTCGCTATTCTCTAGTCCACTACTTCTTTGAGCTAGATTTCGAACGCCTTAAGTGGGCTTAGGCAAAGCCGGGCGATATACGAGAGATATAGTATATTTCCGATGGTGTTAATAATACGTACACTAAACTCGACTAAATAAATAATACTCGACGTTTTCGTATTTTATAGTGTGCCGAATAAGCGACCAAATCCGACCTCCCCTATAATATCAAAGCCGAACTATAGTAAACACTCCTTAACGTCCACTAGACCCTTAGTTAAAAGTTTCTAGACTTAATATAGGAGTAACTCTATATTTCGAATAATACTCGGCTAATATGATTCTAATACCTTAGTTCTAAAGGCAGGATCCTAGTCCTGACGACGACGGTTATAGTCCGAGATCTTAGGTTCACTCTAAAGACTATAGACGTTAGGAGTTATTTACGAACCTCTATACTAAGGACCACGAAACCCTTTTATACTTAGTCTAGTAGGTCTATAAATTATATTTAGCGCTACCGGATCGACTACGGAGATCTCGCGTAGGCTAATTCGTATATAGTCCCCCTAGCGTTAATATATTTTCTTAATTTTATATAAGCGGGTGCCTTTCTAATCCGTTAGGGGCTATAACCATATACTTAGTTTATATAATAGGGGGCTAGGAAAATCCTAGAGACGATGGAAGAAGACACGGTAAATACCTATAGAGAATAAGAGAGTGATAGTAAATATAGTGGATATATAACTGACCGACCTAATGGCTTCTTACGTGGTTATAGTCTAAACATTTTTTAAGGTAATAACAGCTATAACGACGACGATAAAGTTAGAAGCGATAACGATATATACCTAGGGTTCTTTATATTAAGAGACACTATATAGTAAAAGAGCGGCTATAGTTAGAAGCCAAAAGAGGATATAAAGGTTAAAAGGTCTATAGAGATCTATAAGAACCCGATAGAGTAAGAGGTAAGCCATATTTAATAGTAGAATGTTATATTAACTTAGGGAAAGCTAGATCGATATAAATATAGGATATTAGCCTAGATATCCCCTTATATAATTTCTATATAATTTCTACCTTAATGATACTTAAGTAGCTATTACCGAAGGGGTACGTCGTGCGCCGAAGTGGAAGGCCTCTTATATAATCGTATATAATAACGAGAATAATAATCCTACTAGTGATATTAGGAGTATAGGTATAGGCCAGAAACGGAGTACTACTAGGGGTAAGCGAGGGAAGAAGCGAAATTAATAAGTCAATTATAATTATTTATAGCTAGAAGGTATTATTTATATAGAAAGAAGCGTATCTTCTAATATAAAAGGCGTATTTCTTATAATATAAACTAGGATTTAGAACTACCTACGGAGTATATAGTAGAAAAAAAGGTTATAGCTCTAAAGATATAAAGAGAGGACGAGCTATAGATTGGGTTAGCACTTTATAGGGAATATTTATAACCCTAACCTAGCTAAAAGCTTCTATCTATACGGAGTAGATCTTCCTTTCCTCTTTTATTTTCTTCTATATCTTCAAATTTTAGTTTAAATACGCTATTTTTCCTAAAAGACTTAGCTAGTAATATCGATAGCCTATTCGATAGTCTTCTATAGTAAAACTAAAGCTAAGTAGATAGTACGTTATACTAATTATATACTAATCCTCCTTATAGACTATAATAAGCTAAGAATATATAGTCTTATTTATAGGACCGCTTAGTAAACGGAGTATTAGAAACCGCCGGGGGGACCGCCACTACCGCCTTTACTATTTTTATTAGTAACACCACTATCCTCCGTATAGTACGCCGTAGGGATAACGCTTATATCCTAAGTAGGATTAAATCTAACCGAAATCTAAGTAAAGATTCCGTCGGAAATATTATCGCCGAGATACACGTATTTAATAATTAGGTCGATAGTATTAGCCTCCTTAGATAGAATACCGTCCTTAGCATTAGGTATTAAACTCTACGTATTCCTTATATATAGCTCGAGGGCTTTAATAGTAGAAATAAGATCCTAATCGAAGAAAACCTAACTAATATAGGAAGAGTGCGTCTTATATAGACCCGAGATAGTACTATTTAGAAGAACCTTAGTCTCGCTAGCCGGGTGAGTAAGAACTATACGTCGAGTTAGTTAATACTATAATAGGATTCTAAGAGCACCTTATAGCAATAGCGAGTAATATATATAAAAGATATTAAAAGGAGAAGGGAGAGTATCGCTCTTACTATTATACCGTGGATGTAAGTTACCCGACCGGTATAATAACCCGGGAATGTTATTTGAAACTAAACCACGCCGTCCTTATCACTCTTCTAGATGCCCCGATTGAAGGTGGAATCGATATTACTATTATCGGCGGAGTTCCTATTTCTATTAGCGTTTATTCCTAAATATACGCCCTATTATAATTAACGTTAGCGAGATATTTAAAATCGTGATATTAGAAGATTATAATCTAAGAGTTTACTAATAGTAGAGTTATAATGCTAAATATCTATATAAATCTCCAGCTCGGGCTCGTAGGTATTAGTGTTAATTAGCTAGAAATCTAGATAAAGAGGCACACCCTCCTAGGACTCTGTAATATTTTTACGAATAAGTTCACCCGTGATATCTTTGCCGTATTAGAAAACTTCCCTTATTAGGAGGGAATATAGAATATATACTTATAGTAAGGTCCTTATATAACCTCGGGGCCGAGAATATAAGTCGCCTCGGAGCTAAATAATACACTAGGGTCGGTAGAAAAGTCTATATCTTCTAAGTCGGAATAATAAGAAGTATCTAAGGGGCTATTAGCGCTACGTGCTCTAAGATAACGGCTAGCTATCGCTATATTAGTAGATAATAACTATAAGAATTAACTACGAGGTATACTAGGATAGAGGCTATAGCGGCGACGGATGTTCTATATATTTATATAGCGACGTGTAATATTTCGGTCTTTATGCCCTCTAGCCTTTAGCTTTAAGGCATATTTAGTAAGACTACGCGAGTAGAGAGGGGCCTTCTATAAAAAGGAAGCTCGCTCGGTAGCTTTAGCCTAGATATTATATCCCGGATAGGCGGATATAACGCTAGTTAGACCGGCTAGGCCTATAGTAATAATAGATATAATATAGACTATAGCTACTAAGTTAATTTAATTAACCTAATAAAAGGTCGTCGATATATAAAGAGCAAATTCTAGTTGAGAAAACCTACTAGAGGTAGGTTCCGCGGAATATAAATAAAGCGAGGATACACTATTTAGGTATATCGGGGGTTTTAATACCTAGATATTACCTCTCTCTATAATATATAAGGCGGGGTAGGCTCTATTTAGGATAAGTGTCATTTAGATTAAGTAGATTTTTGGTTAAGCTAACGACCGATATAGATTTCTACCACTAAGGTGATAGATAAAACGCGGGATATTTTTTAGCGAGGAGGCTTCCCCGTTACTATAGATCCTACCGGCTTCGGAATTAAAAGTATCCGTTAATAAAGATATAATATTCTAGGATAAATGATTACTAATACCCGTAGTTAATAGGATAGGTACCTAGTGTTCGGTAGTAACTCTAACTAGGTTAGATAAATCTACTATCGATTATTATAGCACTAGTATCTCGCTAGCGGAGACTTAAGTAATTGCTAATTTCATAATCTCCTATCTAAAGGAGTAAAGCCGAGTTTCTACTCGGATCTTTATAGAGACCCCGTTTTGCAATTAGGGATACCGTAAGTAAAGAACTAGAATAATAAGGCTCCTATCGCCTAGTTAGCTACTAGTGTATCTCGAGTTTTATACTGTAAAAGGGATATTAATATATAGACGTATAGCCACATATCAATGAGTTTATACTTATCCCCGTCGGCGACCGGGTAAGGCCGTAGCTAGGTAGCGCGTATATTCCTAGCGCTTCCCGAGTAGAGTTATAGAGAAAAAGTGATAGATATATTCTCTGTTATTCGCCGCTAATTAAATCCAACGTAAGTGCGGTTTATCTAAGCTGCAATGTAACGGCTAGGTGGGATACATTAGGGAGAGTTACGTACTCCGTCTTAGCGGTCCCCCTTACAAGGACAGTTAGCGGAGACTGCAATGCCGGTGCCCCGAATCAGATTAGTAGGACAGTAACCGCACTATGGGGGAAAGGTCATCGACTCAATTCAACACATGTGACGTTATTCACGGCGAAATCGCCAAGGCCTGCGTCTTTGATGCTCTGCGATGGGAAGTGACCAAGTCAACTGTGTGTAGTCGATAACCGGAGAGGTCAAGTTTGGCAGTCAACCTTTGGATCCCACCTGGCACGTGCTAAGGTGCTGACAGAACCTGCCTTCTTAGGTGCAGGTGGCAATTGCTTGCAGTCTCCAAGACATGAGTTTCAGCCACTGGGCTTCAGACCATGTCTAAGCCTCTTTCATTTCTTAAAAACTTCAACGCAGTTGTTATCAGCACGCAATCCGAAGAGTCCTAGTGTCAAATTCATGATTATCTACTATATTTCTTATATAAAGATCTGGACGAAAAGGGGTTCAATAAGGGGGAGAGAATTAAAATATTTCATTGGTATGATACATGCATCTTCGTGGATATCGGGGGCAATGTCGCATGAAGCCGTCAACGCATGATAGAGGCGAGAAGAGAAAGAATCACCGCTGGAGATGGGGCAAACGCCGAAGGCCAGGAAGCTAGAGCTCTGCGCTATACCGCCATCAGAATTGGTAGAGGGATTAAACCTCCTGCTGAGTGACAGTGGGGCCAGCGGTCTTTTCGTCGACCATTCCAATCTCGGCACTAAAGGTGGTCTGAGGCTTCCATTTGGCAGACGTGCGAGGTGTGGACTCTTCCATCATCTTGTCAACCTGCTCAAGCGTAAGACCCTTGGTCTCAGGAACCAGGAAGTATGTGTAGACAAAGGCACAGGCACATAGCGAGCCCCAGAGGAAGAACACCTTGGCTCCAAGATTACCTTTGTCCTCGTCCACCATGTAAGGGGTGATGACGGCGATGATACAATTCCAGAGCCAGTTGGAAGCGGTAGAAAGAGCAACGCCGCGGGACCGGATGGGAAGAGGGAAGATTTCACCAATGACGACCCAAGCGCCGGGACCCCAGGTACTAGCGAAGAAGAAGATGTAGATGCAAATGAAAGCGATCATTGCACTAAGAGCGCTGTTGTTGTCACCATCGGTGACACCGATGATCGCGACAATAAATTGGCAAACAACCATGCCCAAGGCACCCCAAAGAAGCAATGTCCGACGGCCAAGTTTCTCAATGGTGTAGAACGAAATAGGGGTGGAAAAGACGTTGACAATGGTAGTAATCATAGTCAGCAGGAAGGGATTCTGAATTGTGCCCAGCTGCTGGAAGAAGGTGGTACCAAAGTAGAAGATGAAGTTGACACCGGTCCATCTATGAATAATTAGTATCGGTTTAATCTGAAGAGGGTATCAAGGAATAACGAATGAGACATACTGTTGCATCATCTGCAGCGAGGTACCCAGGATAGTGCGACGGAGATTGCTGTTAGGGTCCCAGAGACTTCCACGGAAGCAGTTGAACCAGGTACTCCAGTAGCCACCCTGCGGAATGTGTAGAAGCTCATACTGGTTGTTGGCATCAATTTCATTGATTTCCAGTTCAACGAAGTCCGAATCGATGGGTTGTCCACGGATACGGGCTAGGACCTCACGGGCCTTTTCCTTGTTACCCTTGCGAATAAAGAATCGGGGGGACTCAGGCAAAAAGAACAATCCAGTTGCCAACAGAATAGCCCAAAGCATTTGGAGAGCAATGGGAATCCGGTAGGCTCCCGAGTCCGTGCGCTTCTCGGTGCCGTAATCCACACAGGATGCCAACATCAAACCGATGGTAATGCAGAACTGGTAACCTGAGACGATGGCACCGCGGACCTTGCGGGGAGCAATCTCAGACATGTAGAGAACAATGATCGCGGAGACGAAACCGATACCGAATCCAGCAATCAGACGACCAGCAACGAGAAGTCCCAAGGCGCTAGCAGCAGTCTGTAGAACGACACCAATGATGAAAATGCCACAGCCCGCAATGATTGTAATCCGACGACCGTACCAATCAGCCAGATCACCGGCGATCAAGGCACCGAAGAAAGTACCGCATGAGAGAATGGAGACGATAAGCGATTTCCGAGACGCCGGGATAACAAACTTGGCTGGGTCAGTAGTGGCGGGGTCCTAAGGTTGGTTAGTGAGGTTTCCGTAATGGATGACCTGGATGATACTCACGAGACCCTCATACTCCTGAATGAAGGCATTCATCGAAAGAACACCGCTGATATAACCAGAGTCATATCCGAAGAAGATACCACCGAACGCGGCAAAGGCACACATCAGGTAGGCCTTGAAAGTGACTGGAGCCTCGACGCGCAAGGCATCGCCAGGCGCAGAGACAACCGCTCCACCAGGCATGGTAGCGAATCGATTGAATCAAATGGGTGATGTTCAAAGGCGCTATCTAGCAGAGGGGTAAGTAAGAAGAGACGAAGTCGGATGACAGAGAGGGATGGATGAAGAAGAGAGACAGGGGAGTGAGGGGACACAGGGAATTTTATATCCTGGGGAGACTGTCGTTTGAGCTCCTTCCCCAGGCCATCCCATATCGAACTCATTATTATTTGATTTTTCTTTTCGATTTTTCTTTCTGATTTTTTTTTTGCTTTTCCTTTTCCTTTCTGGAAGCCAAAAAAAAGAAAGAAAGAAAAGAACAACCTATAATGATCCGAAAAAAATACGGAAAAAGGGATTACAGGAGAGAAACAGGTACCTGGGTACGAATGGATCTAATCCTAACTAGGACTGTTGGCCACCGTCGGCAGATAGAAATCGGCTGAAATAGCTTTCGTGTAGCCAAGTCGGCCCTGGATAGAGAAAACGGAAGACCACGCAATGGCAAAAATACGGCAACTGTTAGAGGAAACCGGGGAAGTGCGACACGGCCTAAGCCGTAGCCTGGGGATGGGTGGAGATGATTGGCTCAACGGCAGATATTTTCCCGTCGACCGGGCGTTTCATTTGAGAGGGTCAAAGTGAAGGGCGAGGTACGGAGTAAGTAGAGCTCCAAGTATGTACTCCGTAAAGGTCCAACAGACGCAGGGCATCTAGAACCAAACAGATCCTCGGGTCGAGAAACCGGACATGTCCACTTTGGGACTGGGGTCGGCGGGGAACCACCTGCTGATTGGTGGAGCTGGGGCTCCCAGGTGCCCCACGTGGCCCAAAGGAGTTTCTGAAGGTCGCTCTTTCCTGGGTTTTTTCTGGAGTGCCTTCCGTTTAATCACCAACTCAGTACGGAGCACGGAGCACGGAGTACCTACATGTAGGTACCTATGTTATATGTTATATGCTATATGTTTTATATACTCCGTACTCCATCCCACTTTCGGTGATTTTTACTCCTTCGTGTCTCTACAACACTCGACATGGATGGCTGGATGCACTCAATATGATGGGGGGGGACATCGTCTGCTGACCTGTTAACCAGTACTCCGTACTGTAACTGCAGACTTGACTGGTGAACCCGGAACCCGTCATTCTCCCCATTTCATACTCTCAATGTGACCTTGAAGGCACGCCGTTCGGAGCACAGACCGTCGCCACGCCACAAAATCACACTCTACCTTGGACGCAGAGAAAAGACGCAAAGAACGGACTAGTGTCTTGGTAGAAGGCCGACTACGGAGTAGAGCATCCAGGGTACAGGGGTGCCTACCTCCATAGGGGAGAGGAGTAAGAATGATCGGAACAAGCTATCTGTTTCACATTGAAGTTCCCTGTCGCGGGGTTGACCGTGATGGTCCATGCAGGCTAAAGGGGGAAGAGAACACGAAGTCCGAGCAAAAGGATGAACAGCGATGTTCGAATGGCGCGCAGCTCGGGCGTAGCCGAAAATCCAGTGGGTCCTGCCCCCCGGGGAACAAGAGTTTTCGTCTTCCTCTTCTTCCACATTTTCCCAGCTTTTTTCCGCCCACGGGGAAAAGAGCCAGTCACACGCCACCCAACTGTCTCAGCGAGCCCTTTTGGCGCCCAGCCCAGCTTTTTCATCTCCGCTCTACTGCCTTGGCATATCACGTGTTGGGTATGCTTGTCCCGTGCCGAATTATCGCCACGTCAACACCGGGCTATTGTCGGGAGGATTCTGTATGCGCCCATGCCTATTATTAAGCGGCAAGGTCAAAGTGTCGGAGTATGGAAGGGTTGGTGACTCGAATGAAACCCCCGAGCCCCCACCATGTTCGTGGGCCAAAGCCAGCAAATGCCACACCGTAGTACCATACACGCTTCTCTTCGGCTTCTTACACGGAACTTGCCATCTCTGTCTCTCTCGGATGGTGCCACAGCTGACCCACATGGCCATACAATGGGAACCGAGAAGTCTGGTCACTTCTGGCCGACCGGGAGACGGGGGCTTGCGTGAGCCGAGGAAACTACCTCCGATTCTCATGCCGGTGAGTATCTTCCGTTAGTATGATATTCGGGGATGTGGGAGGAATCCAATTGGACTTCGGCCTTTGCTGTAGCTCGGGAACTACCGAGAAACATTCATTGGGGCGCGGAGAAGCGCACGATCGGTAGAGCGACGATGGGGATGTCTACGGATTCCGTGGCCGGTTTCTGGGGAATTTCTACCCCAGGACTCCTCTCACGCGATCTGCTCACCGGTGTGGAATCTTTTTGCCTTAGCACGCATTGCAGGAATTCATGCAGAATACATACCTACTTCGTATGGAAAGCCCAATCACCGCTTTGGGATTTCAGTACATGGCTGATTCGCCGACATAAGAACAGTCTGTTTCTGCTGTCGCACTAGTCAAATTCAACGAGGTCAAAGCTAAATTTCCTCTTTCTCCAACAACTCATCTTGCGAGTTTGATTGTTAGGTTACATGGATCTGCCAAAAGTGCAAGGCCTTACTACATGTAGGTAGTGTTGAGTCGCGCACGGCTCAAGATTTGCCTTCCTTCACCCGCCATATGAGATGACTTGTGGAGCACGGAAGTCTCTGTAAAGAGTACGGAGGAGTGGAGGGGTTGTTTTCAATCCCATTCACCTATCAACACTCAGCCAAGCCCGTGTGTGGGAATACATGGATGGTCAACCCTAGTTGCAGTCATTTGGAGACTAAATACCTATTCAGTCCGATCAACCCGCCTGTTTGTCGCCAATATTCAATTTCTTCGACATAGCTCTTGATCCCCTCGCCCCAGATGCTCAACCGTGCCACCATTGAGGCTTCTTGGTCGCCAAGCTGAAGTCCTTCCCGGTTATAATAACCAGGGGTGCAACTGAGCACACCTCCTAGTGCTCGTGCCCCATTCAAAATTTTCAAAGTCCATTCGTTTTCTGAGACCAAGCTAGGCTCAACCGTGAACCTAGCAGTGGTGAGTTCCGAGCCCGTTTCCTCTGAGATCAACCTCCCCGCTTCTGAAATCATGTAGGCAACATGAATTGCAAGTTGATCGAGAACGTATACATGGTTTGCGGAAGCTCCCGATTGGTATGGCCCCGGAAAAAACAGGTTGGGAAAATTATGCGTCATGACTCCATGGAGTGAGCTGAGTCCATCCTGCTGCTTTGCTTGTAACGTCTGGTTGTCTCGTCCAGTTACCCTCAAATCCCCAAGATCCGCGCTACCGCCAAGGGTATAACCGGTCCCAAATATGATGGCATCCAAGTCATACCCCTTGTTGTCCACTTGGATCCCGCACTCCGTCACGGTACGGACCCCATTTCCATCAGTATCCACGAGCGACACATTCGGCTGGTTAAATGCTTCGAGGAAGGTGTCGCTGAAACATGGGCGCTTGCACCACCCGGGATACCATGGCTTCAAAGCTTGGGCTGTGGCCTGATCAGTCACCGTCGTTTCTACCCGAAGACGGATCGCCTCTTGCCGGCCAAAATCCACTTGATGCATCTTTGTTAGGTAATCTGTTTCCAGGCCAGATGGTCCTCCGAGCAGTGCGCTCAATGACTGCATCTTGGTCCACCCGTCATCGACGAGGTCTACCTTTGGCGGTGGATTCTCGTTCGATACAAAGGCGTTGAAATTATCCATGCGTTTTCGTTGCCATCCATAGCCTTCTGCTTTGACCATTTTGGCCCACCAGGTATGATCAGTGGCGCGGTTCTGACGCGAATCTACCGCAGACGGGGTGCGCTGGAATACCATCAACTTCTTGGCCCATTGAGCAAGGTATGGGATGGCTTGCACGGCCGATGCTCCGGTTCCGACAAACCCAACGGTCTTATCCTGTAGGTTATGCATTGTTGGGTTGACTGGACTTCCTCCGGTGTATCCATAATCCCAGCGCGAGGTATGAAAAACCTTCCCTTTGTATGTCTCAAGCCCATCCAGGTTTGGTATCTTGGCACACTCAAGCAACCCAGTAGCCATTATAACAAAGTCCGATTGGAGGGTGATGGGGGATTGGCCATCTGGTGTGATGTGAGCTATCCATCGGCCATCATGGTCATTCCAAGTCAAGTTGTTGACCTTTGCTTGGAACAATGCCCGATCGGTCAGGTTCCATTGATCGGCAATTCGATTTGCATGATCTTTCAGCTCAGCGCCACTGACATACTTTTGCGACGGCATGTATTTTGTTTCTTCCAGCAAAGGCATGTAAGTGTAACTTTCAATGTCACATACCAAGCCAGGATATTGATTCCACCACCATGTTCCCCCAAAACCCCCTGCAGTATCTATGAAGATGATGCCAGTCTCACAGATGAGTCCCGACTGCAATAGTCGCACTGCAAACAGCAGTCCACCAAAGCCAGCACCGACAATGATAACCCGAAACTGCTGTTGCTGAATCAGGTTGTCATTCTTGGCGATGTTTTCTTTAGGGAGGGAGGTGGTCGTGGTGTCATCAGACCACTTGACATATTGGGCAGGGCCATCAGGTCGTAGGCGTTTCTTGCGTTCCTGTTCATATCGAAGCTGTGCGCTTTGGAGGTCACTGTTGTCCATGGATAAACGGTCAGGCAAAACAGTTGATTCGAGGTTTGAAGCAGACATGGTCGGCATCATGTTGACGAAGTAACTTGAACCGAAGAACAGAAGAGGTAGATAACAATGGGTCACTCACATTTCTGCGTGGCCTCAATTGTTTCCATGAGTTTCTCACAAACATCGTGCAGTTTTACAAGCTAATGCATAACAAACGAATACCCAAACAGGCAAACGCCATGTCTCGCATTTCCGGTACAGGAAGAGATGCAGCTGCTACAATGGCACCCGACTCAATGATATTTGTCTATTCAGCTAGCTCTCAATTAGGTTCAATTCAATGCCAGAACAGCTTCAATGTGCTTCGCAAACTGAGCATCCCACCCGGAGTTCCTTGAAATACGCCATAAGCCACACGAAGCCCTCCCCGAACGACTAGGGCTACTATTGTAGCTTGGCATTTCTCCTTTTCCCCACGAGGCAAATTTAGACGAGAATACAGTTCTGACTGATCATCAAAGGAGAGCGATCATCCCTGCCGAGCATTTCCTTCATCCAATTGGCCCTGTTCAATATCGATGCCAGCGCTAAGGATATACAGGGCTGTTGGGCCCCCATGGTTCGATCCGAGGAGCCTCATATCATTGAATTCCCCCAACTTCTAAGTACATGTATCTGACTCCAAAATCTTTGGAAAAGGTTGAGTACCAGAATGACACGATAATCCATGCTACTTGCTCTGCTCGCCGCTGTGCCCCTGTCGCTGGCTAAGGAAGGTGGATATTTTGAATCATCCTCTTGTGCAGATCCAAAGGGCTTTGCAAAGTGCTATGAGCAGGTCGATGTCGACTATTTGGAGTGTGTAAACAACAATTGCGCCGGTAGAAGTCCATCCTGCTACGAGTCGTGTGGTGCAAGCATTAGCTGCATGAATCAGCAAAGTCCAGGGCTGGGTATCGATTGTATCAATGCCTGTGAATTCGAACGTTCTGCTTATCAGATCGATTGCGCGGGTCAGAGTTTCTGGAATCAGGTCAAAGACCTAGTCACACCATGGAGGAATTCAATCTCACATGGTTGCTGAGGTCTACTCGAGCGAATATCAAACCACCGTCCTCCAGCTCCTCGATGTCTGCACCGATCCGAATCGGGATGGACTGCCATTTTGGCCACCATCGGATGGTGCCTCGGATTCCTGCTCCTGCAATATAGCCCAAATCGAGATGAAGGAACATCTGATCATCAATCAACTCCACAGGTGTAGAGGCAACATGACCAATCTGGAAAAACTCTCCGACACTTCAGCAATGACAGACTACGCACAAGCTTGTCTCTGTTGTGGATATAGTACGATTATTTCTGCGTGTGTCCATCCTGTGTGAGCGCAGATTCTTTGTGCAAAACTCTTGGAAGCTTCTCTTTTCTTTTCTTTTCTTTTCTTTTCTTTTTTTTGGACATCCAGTGGCTAATGATCCTGGTCAGAATGTGGGATACCTGTCCCAGCACCAAGTCCTCGCTACTAGGTGCGGATGAATGGTTTGCTGGGCTTCTCAAACCAGATCACTGGGGGGAATGTGGACCCTATCTCGAGGCGTATAATCGTGCAGATGATTTTGGCGTTGGTCGTGCCGATGCCAGCGGAATTAGCAACTTCTACGGTCCCAACAGTATGCCGATTAATGGCACCAAAGCAATTTCGAATAGAGAGGGAATTGTTTCCCAACCGGTCAGTGGAGATACCTTTACATGGACCTTCGGGCCCTCTAGCCGCGCTGTGATACACTCTGTCACGGTGTCCTCGGCAGATGCCACTGTCGCGGAAACCAAGACTAGTGATGGAGGCGATAGTACTACGGCAACTAAAACGAGTGCTACGACTGGCACAGCAAGTGAGGCAAAGCCTGGGTCAGGGAATTCTTTAGTCGTTCCTCCTGGACAATCCCTGTCATGATTGGTACCATGGCACTGTTAAGTTTGTGACCAAATGTGTTCTATACCTAAATAGAGATCTAGACTTCACCAGATTTGGGTGTGATAAGTCTGCCCTCTGTCATGAGCGGCCAACTGTGGCTTGAGCCCATCGACTATGATTTACATGTATAGCCCACCAACTACCATTGCGTCAAACTCCCTCGCATCTCTCATCTTGTAGGCCTTGCCTACTTCAAGCCTCTCTCTTCTCTCGCCACGTGTAAGCACACACCTCACTGAATCGCAATGTCTGAACAGGACAGATAAATCTGGCCAGTTTGGAACGAGTTCCATTTCCAGGACAGCAGGGTGTGGTTCGACGCATAGTCAGGGATTTTGATCTTCTTGGTAACCGTGTAGCCGCCGGAGATCGTGGTGTCACAGGAACCCATTTCGGAGCCGTCGACGCCTGCGCATTTGCTGTCATCGAATCCGTTGCACGTAAACCAGTCGTTGCGGTGGCAAGCGTCCCCATCGCCGCAATCGGGGCTGTAGTCGCAAGTCTGTCCATCCACATCGGTGCAGTCCAGGAGGCCTTTATTGAAGCAGTCTTCGGCTTCCTGTTTCTCATCGTCGGTGGGAAGATAATCCGGGTCTAGGAACTTGTCCACAATGTCCTGGTTTTGGCAGATCCGGTAGGTGAACATGCCTCCATGGTCACCATTGTGGTCAATGCACCACACGACATCAACTACCTCACCCGCTTTGTAGGTGGTCACCACATCAGAGCCCCAGTCGCTGCCTGGTTGATTGTAGTCAACGCTCACGCGAGCATTGTATCCACAGGGTCCACTGCGGCCGACCGGTGCGCTGTCGAGATCAGGCCAGGATTCGACGGGTTCCAGGATAGTGCACTCGGGGCAAGTGTCCAGGCCGGCCTAACTCTTGTCAGTCACAGGGATCCAAGGGGTTGGATGTAGATGCATTATCGCAATCCTCACCTTAAATCCTAGCTTTGTTCGACTATCTGGCTTCCACATGTAGCCATGTCCAGCAACAATGGTTGCCAAAGAAACCACCAATAAGACACCGGTAGCCTTCATCGTGTATAGAATAAGATGTCTGTTTTCAAAGTGAATATGATGGTTGGAAGATGAGACTGGCCAAGTTGAATGTTGAGGATGAGCCCTTTTATATATCGTCGTGGCGCCCTCATATTTGGACGTCGCATAGTCGTGTTGAGAGGTCTATCGCATATGATACCAGTTCATTCTACAGGGTGCGGCCGAGAAAACCAATCATGACCTTTTTTTTGTTGGATGCAGCATTCCGTGAAGAATCTGTCTCAGGTAAGGCCGTTTGGAGATGTGATCAGCATCGACACTACCAGGTCGGATAGGGGCTATCAAGGTGTGCGACAGGAATCATCCACACTTTTCACTCGACTCATGGATGATCGTTTTCATGCATTGACTGGGAGGCAATGATACGAGAGCATTGCTCTAGCCGATCAGCTTGGCAGGTCCTTGACACCCTGGCCCCGATATATGTCCGCTTCAGTGTGTCGCATTTCCCCACAAACGAGGAAATTACAAGGTGCAGATCTATACAGATGGAGAAATGGACGGTTTTATGCTATTATTACCGTCGAATAAGGCCTACCTGTTCATTAGCTACGTCAAGAAAGGGGAGATGACGGGCAATTGGCTTCCCCACTCTCTTGGCCGCGGCAAATGGTCTGTTCTTCACTTCTCTCTATACCGGACTGTACAACCTCTCACGGTATCTAGGTACGGTCGAGGTATCCGAGCAGGATCAATTAACCTCGCCTGCAGTCTTACTCGCCCTGGAAATGGTGGCAATGGTCAGCTCTGCGCCACCCGTGACGCCCTACTCACCCCCACGCAACGATCGCCAGCGGGATCGTGGCGGCTTTATAGCGGGGGCTTCCCCGACTATTGCCCGAATGGCGATCATTATGTATCATGCGCGTTGCTAGATCTATCCTAGGCACCTGGTTTTATCTACAAGTGTGCACCAGTCTCAGTCCCAATCCCCCAGCCAGTTGTTGTGAGCATCATACCTGAGGTACTCAATTTATAGGTCCATTTCAAGCCTACTCTCAGGGAAATGACTCCATAATCATGGTATACATATTTGGAATAGATAGCATGGGCCCCTTCAGACATAGGCCTCGCCAATAGACGAGAGAGTGACTATGCACAGTCCTCGTCTCAGCCTGAACTGGCTAGCTAGGTCTGACTAGCAAGCTCTTTCTCATGCTTACTGGGATCTATCTCTTCTCTCATGGGGGCGTCAAGCGCATCGAGGGTAATATCAACTCGAGGACCGGTGAAATTTTTCCTTCCATCGACAATCCACTGGAACACGGAGATCATGATAATGACAGCAAATGCTGCAACACAGTAGTCTTCATAAATGAGTCAGTAAGGAAAATCCTGTTGATATCCGAAACGGCAGACTCACTCATGCTACTCCCTGTGACGGTGCTTGATGGAGGGAACACAAACAGGACGGTCGTCAAAGTAATATACGATAAAGCAATCTGGAAATTATCAGAGATGCTCCACTTTCATGCAATTTCACCCATGCTGGTAACGTACGATATCCACGATCCATCCAACTGTGCGAGGCAGTTTCCATTTTCTTTCGGGGAGCGATCGGCGTCCCTGAAGACAATTGACGGCAATGGGGATTCCATAAGACAGATCAAGCGCCACAACCGACGCCGATATAATTGCATTGAAAGCACTAGCTTCGGTTAGTTGCCAGGTGTGCTAGAATTTGCGGGTAACGCCTATCAAATACCTCGAAGAACCTAAGAAAATGCAACCAAATGCGATAACCACAACAACACTGAGCATCAGTGCGTTTAGGGGCAACTTAAGTGTCGGGTGAACCTTGGCAAAGAACCTAGACGCAGGAAGACCTCCATCTCTGTGAAGAATAAGTATAGTCTCTGTCTGCAGGAAGGTTGATAATTACCTTGCGAAAGCAAAAATCATTCGGCTGCTGGTAGTCATGACGCTCACTATAGCAAAAACCAAGCAGACAAGAGGCAACCTTTCATTTCGCATCAGAACTTAAACACAAGATGGGAAGAGTATCCCCACTTACATCAAAAGGCAGATGCCTCCTGCGTTGCTTTTTGTTGCATCCAGCAAGATCTGTAGGAGAGGACCGGCTGCGGACGTGGCGACATTTTCCATGTTTCCTGCGACAAATAGAAGGACCATCAAAAAGATCGAGCCCGTAGCCACTCCGATACCGACGCAGGTCACCATGATTTTCGGTCCTTCAATATCAGCGTTAGGTACCTCTGAAAGCGCGATGCGTTAGTCTTCTCTGTCCTTCAACACCTGGGACAATTCTTACCTTCAATCATGTGTGCCACGGCGTCCTAGATAAAGTCAGTTATATCGGCTTTGGGATGACAATGACCTTCACAGGTCACAGGACTTACAAAGGCTGTCACGCCAAGACCTCCTTGAAGCAACTAGGAGACCTGTCAGTATTATTGCGGCAGTCCAGATCTATGGTCGGTGTAGGATAACATACACCAAGCAGCCATGCCACTCCGTCAGGCCCTAGCTCGAATTAGCAAAGAGATCACAAGTACATTCTCAGATACGCGAGCCATACAGCCTGTGGTATTGACGAAATCACAAAAGACAAAACTGTGGAAGTCAGTTGATGCGAGCTTCTAGATTGCGCAGGAACTCCATACTAAGCTGAATTGTAATGGGGGGAGGCGCATGCGAGAACCGTGATTGACACAACCACAAAGCCTCCAATCGACCACAAGACTAGTGGATATTAGTGGCAGATCCATAGCGGGCGAGGGCAACTCACAAGCACCACGATAGATGACTGGCAAAATGGAATTCATGAAAGCATTAACGATGAAAGAACCGAGAGTCAACCCGATGTAGATCAAAAATTGATGCCAGCGTTGTGGGACATAGCTCTGGATCAACGATGAGTCTGAAGTGTAAGTGTCGGTGTAGAGTAGGAGTGTTGCTCACCTCGTGAAGCACTGAGATGACCCCAAGAATTAGCTGGCTAGAAAGAAGTGAGTTCGTCGCAACGAGAGCAACCTGGGTTGTGTATTAGCTTTGAGCATCGCATTGGAGAGTGATCTCACCTACCCAGCCCGCGACGTTAATCCAACCAGTAATCCAGGATAGAATGGGCACGGTACTCGGCCAGGCGACTTTCGATTCGTTAGCATAAATATTGATACGGTGTCAGAGGCTGTCCAAGAAGAACATACTAGCTGAAACTCAACGTTAGCGGTCATCCTACCCAGGTAGGCATATATTGTGTGAAGATACTCGGTGACTTACCTGCGACCCAATGATACTGTCCGCCAGCTCTGAGCAAAAAGGATGCACATCAGTATGGTGCTTAGATCTGCTGGATGATTGGCACAGCTTACGTCGGATAGGCCGAGAGGAATTCAGCCAACGAACAAGCGATGCACAGATTGCAGAATCCTGCAGTCACCAGTCCTATATTGTAGAAAGCGAATGTGAGTGAGATCTCTCGGAGGGTGTCTAGAATCAGCCTACCCCATATCACACTGGTGCTTCCACCGGAGGTGAGACTGATCGACAAGCTGGCCGACAGCGCAGTCCATGACTAGACTCGTTAGCTGAGTGATGCGCCGGCAATCCACAACGGACATACATTGAGAACCGCAAAAGCCAGGCCGAGCATCGACCTGGGACCGTCAACTATCAAGTCTGGCATGGGTGAGCACATTACCCTTACCATGTAGAATGGCTACGTTGGAGTTCAGGGCGATGGCCCATGGCTGCCAACTTGGCGTCATCGCCTTCGAGGGGACCGTCTTTCATCGTAGAATAGATCACAAGTTCAAGGGGAGAGATTTTGCATGTAACCCCAGAGAGTTCTGGGGAGAAGAGCAATCTAAGTACCTGAGTATGTCCTCATACTCAAACAGGCATTGCCAGACGACTTCTCCTTGAGGATAAGCTCCGACATCCTTATGCGGGGAAGCTCTGAGAGAGGTTGCATATCCAACAGCCACACTCCCCTTTCACCGTACGGAGTACTCCGTACACGGTGCACCGTTCAGACATGCCAAGTACCTTATCGCATTCCTTCGGAGGCTTATTATCGTCATTTCCAGCGCTAAGATCCTAGTCCCCCGAGCGGTTACACCTCTTTCGTCGATCATCGCATGGACTTGCCGGACATCGTATAGCGGCTCGTCTCTGCTGACGCGAATTCACAACTCGCGGAAAAGGGGTATTTTCATTTGAATGTCCATCCCTCGAGGTTATAGAATCGGGTTTCTATTGGACGTCAGCCAAAGCCGCGTTGAATCTCCATTTATTGCATAGCTACTCCTCCGTACGGAGTATATGAGTAGAGCATCTCCATCTTTCCACGGTGGGTTTCACTCAGTGCCTCGGAACAGCAATACATTGTATGTACTCCGTATGTATGTTTTGATCAGGACATGGACATTATGACTGATACATAATAGCTATCCGTACGGAGCAGACATCTGTGTCCTAGCCGATAGACGCATGTTCACGATGTATGTCTTCTACCGCTTTCGCATCTTCCCCCGGCTTCATGCTCTACGGTCGCCAAAGGTCTACATTGTTAGATCGCAAGATATCTATGTTGGAACATTGATATGACAAGGTGAAAGTAGGCTACCAACTGAACCTCATATATATACATGCATGGGAGGTATTGATATAGCGTTGAATTTCCCAAGAGATGCCCAAATGTCCTTGACACCAGAAGTGAACGGCGTGCCAGTCCACTGAACCCAAAATCCCGAACCCTCAAGACTCCATTCCAGTCACGCAAATTGTGCAGAAAAATCATTCAAAGTGCCCCGTAACTCCAAAACTACCAGCATCTTAGAGCGTGGGGTGTGCATCGTTCATTGAACGTTGTAGGTGTCGAGGGCATGTTGCACATCATGAAGGCTGTTCTTGTCGCCATATGCGTCCATCAATTGTTGGTTACGTGCCAACCGTTTTGCTTCCTCCCGCATGGAGGTTTCTCGTCGCGATTTGGCCTCGGTGTAGTAGTTGTATGCTCCAAAGCCTGCATGTGAGCGGGTCAGTCATGTTCGTGGAAACAACCATTGTGCAGATAAAGCCATAGATAAGACAAATCATACCGAGACCAATGCTAGCTATGAACGGAATCAGTCTGGAAAAACCAAAAAAAAAAGAAATTAGTAAACGATGGTTCAACAGAAAAAAAGGGGGAACTTACAGCCGCGCATTCCGAGGCTTGTAACTAGGCCCCGTGGGGTGATTGCCATATGACTTGTTCGCACGAGGAAGAGCAAATTGCGACATTGTGTTTACTGCGTACAAGAAGAGGGTTCAAGGGAATGTTTAATATCCCAGAGTCCGGAAGAAGCAAAAGAATCAGGAACCGGCTCAACGGAACAGACGGCAGCAGCGGAAGAAGCGGGATGCGGGGAATGACGTTGGTCTCTTCAGGGCTTTTTATACGTGGGATCAGGCCACACTCTGGTTGATGCCATTGCGTGGCACTACATACGGCCTCTTCTAACCTCTTACAATTCTTACAATTCTTACAATTCTTACATGGAATAGGATCTCGGTACTCGGTACTCCGTATTGTACCTCGTCTGGGGTGATTCTCATACTTAAATCATCCCGTGTATCCACAGATCCACTCGGAAAAGATCAAACCCGACTAGTCAGTTCTCATATTCTCATGTGTAATTTATATTACCGTTGACCTAAGAGCCGATTAGATTCCATGGATGGTCCAGAAGAAGCGGCTACGCCACCAGACGTCTGATTATGCGAGCCCCAGATTAATGTCCATTGTTCTGAGGAGCAGGAGTTGCGGGACCCTCTGGAGTCACATAAGCCTGGAATATATTGTTAGCGCAATCATAGGTGGACCACGATGGATCACACGTACCTTGGTCATTCCACCGTCGACCACAAAGTCCGTGCCATTAACGAAGCTGCTTTCGTCGCTGGCCAGGAAAACCACGGCGTGAGCCTGCTCAATGGCCTCACCGAACCGGCCAGTGGGGAAGTGTACCTCCCGACGGAATCGCTTGGCCTTGTCATCACCAAGCCAGTCTTGTAGGAGAGGGGTGCTATACCGGAGTAAGCTAATGCAGACACGTATTCAGTGGGGAGAACTTACTTGAGTGGGGCGGGGCACAAAGCATTGAAACGGTACCCCTCACGGGCATGCACGATGGCCAATTCCCGAGTCATCGCTAGGACCGCACCCTTACTGGCGGTGTATGCGAGCTGAGGAGTGGCAGCGCCAACCAATGCCACCACACTAGCTGTGTTGATGATGCTGCCACGGGCCTTCTGGTGACGACGCAGACTGAGGACCGCGTGCTTGCTGCCGAACCAGACGCCCTTGACATTAATGTTGTGTGTGAGGTCCCAGATTTTCTCGGGGGTATCAATAGCATCCGCATCGTTGGCATGCATAATTCCAGCGTTGTTGAAGATCACATCGGTGCCTCCCCAGCTGTCTTGTGACTCAACCATTGCCTGCACATCCGACTCCTTGGATACATCGCATCGAATTGATTCGACCCGGGATGCAGTGGGAACTACTTCCTTCACCTTGGCCAAAGCCCTTGCAAGAGCTGGTTCGGAAACGTCGGCCATCAGAACATTGGCTCCTTCACGGGCGAAAAGGATACTGGTTTCGAGCCCAATCCCACTATTCAAGTCGGGGAATTAGTCACACTCCTGCGATGTTCTGAGTTACTTGCGATGAGCGCATACCCGCCGGCACCGGTGATGATGGCATTTTTGCCCTGAAGGCGTCCCTGAAGAGTAGTGGCAGCCATGGCGAGTTATCTTGGAGCTGTGTGTCTCTGTAGGTACGGAGGTGGGATCTAGATCAGCGATGATTCTCCCCCGAGGACCACGGCAGTAAGACATACCTAGTGATCCAGATGGTATCTTATGAGGGAAGCTACTCACAAAAACCGACAATCTGAGTGAATATGAAAGATGTCAACACCAACCCGAGTGTGTTGCCCCCAAAAGTATACGCGGGGCAGGCACCCCGGCTGTGGATCCTATTAAGTAAGCGATGACGATATCAGGTGGCCCGAAGTGGTAAGGCGTCCCCGATACCACGCCGATAAGCTTCCCAGCTGCGCTGGCCGCTTGGGGTCACTTCGCCTGGTTTACCCGGGGTACTTCCACTGCAATCTTGGTGAACGTTCACTTCCTGTGCCTTGGTTCTTCGTTCTTCTACATCTTTAGTCCCGAGGTCTTCGACATCCTGGGATCTCCCTTGCACTTTGAGCCTTCTTCTATCATCCTGATCTATCATGTCGGGCCCCACAGACTCCGGGGTCACAGCTGAGAATATCGCTGAGGTCCTGCGGCATGACACAAAGGTGAAAGTAGCCGGGGTGGACGTGGATGGGCAACTGCGCGGCAAACTCATGAAGAAGGACAAGTTTTTATCCATTATCACCGAGGGTTTCGGCTTCTGCTCCGTTATCTTCGGCTGGGATCAACATGATGCGACCTATTACAAGGAGCTGAGCATCAGCAACAAAGAAAATGGATATCGCGATCTAGTTGCTGTCCCAGACCTACGCAGCTTCCGTCGCATTCCTTGGGAGAACGATGTGCCCTTCTTTCTTATCAGCTTCCTAGATCCAGACACACGGGAGCCAGTGTGTGCCTGTCCACGGGGATTGATGAAGACCGTAGCTGCGAAAGCTGAGGCAGCAGGGTATCGGGCTATGGCAGGAGGTATATCCGACCGCAAATCAAACCTTGGGCGATCGAATAACTGACTGGTGCGTTGTTCTGACTAGCGGAGTATGAATTCTACCAATTTCGCGCACCGGGCAACCACGATACTCCTGAACGAGGTGCATCTGCAACGGCCACTTTTCTTCAGTCAAATCCCGCCGATGCATTGCCCTCATTAACAGAAGGCATGTTTGGGTATTCAATCACTCGGCCCTTGCACAACCAAGATTATTATTATGGCATTTTCGACGCCTGCGAGAAGTTCCGTTGCGATATTGAGGGATGGCATACCGAAAGTGGGCCGGGAGTGTTTGAAGCTGTGAGTAAATTGAGAGATTACTTGCGTCGCGTTGGGATTGACGTCGGAATAGGCATTACAATTTGGTGAAGCGAAGGATATGGCCGATAAGGCAGGTTTGTTCAAGTAGGCTTGGCTTTCTGACAGCTCTTTCTTCATAAGCCATCGCTAATCAGGTCGGTCGCATAGATATGTCGTCAAAGCATTTGGAATCAAGCACGGGATCACCCCATGCTTTATGGCCAAACCACGCCAGGGACTTCCAGGAAACAGTGGACATATGCACATCTCACTCGTGACCGCTGACGGAAAGAATGCCTTCATTCGCGATACTCCCGATCCCTCCCCCCTCTACCCCGATATTGCTCATCTGTCCGACTTGGGTCGACATTTCCTAGCCGGCCTTCTCGTCGGCCTTCCAGATATTATGCCGATCTTGGCCCCGACCATCAATTCCTACAAGCGACTGGTGGAGAACTTCTGGGCGCCAGTCACTGTCTCTTGGGGACTAGAACACCGGGCTGCGTCGATCCGTCTGATCACCCCACCGACGGCTAGCGCAAAAGCAACCCGGTTCGAAATACGCGTGCCGGGTGCGGACACTAATGCGCATCTCGTCCTGGCAGCCATACTGGCATTGGGATGGCGAGGAGTCGAGCGGAAGCTCGAGATCCCTGTGCCGCCACTTGCCCGTGGGGAGGATATGGGCGGTGCCAGTGACCAGGGCGTACGCCTGGCCAAGTCCTTGAAGGAGGCCATTGTTACATTTACACGACCGGAGAGTGTTGCACGGGAAGTGTTTGGTGATTCCTTCGTTGAGCACTTTGCTGGAACTCGAGAACACGAGGTGCGCCTGTGGGAAGAGGCGGTCACTGATTGGTGCGTGATGTGTATTTTGTTGCGATGGCAATTTGGATGCTGACTTGACAAATTCACAGGGAGATGAAGCGGTACATCGAGACTGTGTGAAGAAGGTGAGTATTTTTCATGTCTGATCTTCCGAGCTCTCAACGTTCTTTGTTTTATCGATTTTTCGCGTTACAACGATGGTGGACTCGGGGATCATGGGCATTGTACATAGTCGCTTTGGCCTAGAGATGGAATGGATATAGAGGGCGCGTAGGGGCAGGGTCGGACACTGCGGGAAATGCCAGTTATACCTATACCAATTCAAATTCAAATTCACCGTGGAGGCTTGTCTTGACAGCTCGGAGATTCATTTTTGCGCTTCCAACATCACATGCCGTCACATGCTCTCCTGCGGAGCATTAGCAGATGACGCATCAAATCCCCGGGACAAATCGGCTTCGGAGATGACTCTGCTGAATGCTGCGAGCTGTGGAAGAGCAGAATGAGCCGCGGCTGATTGGAGATCCGCAGGCGGGGGGAAGTCCCTAGGTCTTCTACGGCCACTTTTTCGGGTGAAGCAGGAGAAGAATGAGAGGGTTCAAAGATTTTTTTCAAGTTGTCCCCGAACCGGAGAGGGTGATAATCATCCATAATCGCATGCCTGGCGGTCGGTAGGTACTCCGTACGGGGTACATGCCGATAGATTGGAATGACTCAGAGTGAAGACACTGATAAGACGCAGGCCGTGCTCTGCTGCCTTTTTGAGGCCGAACAGTGTGCTTCGTGGTCCCTGATAACGGGCAAATTCGGCCGAGAGGAAGAGTTTCCCGTGGAAAACTACAGCGCCAAATGGGCCAGAAGCGATCTCGCAGTGTCGCTGAGGAGCAAAGTCACGGTCAAATGGCAGACAGTCGGGATTCGCGGCTTCTGATTGGCCCGGGCTGCAGAACACAACCGCGGCACTTCGGTGGCTCTGACGTATTCCACCTTCACTTTCCCCGGGCAGACGGGGTTTTGGGGGGATTGCTATATATTTCTTATATGGAGAGCTCCCTGGCATTGGTTCTTCCTTCAATTTCTCAGTTCCAGTTTCATTGAATGGGCCTATAGCTTACATCCCATATCGGCATCTGCGTATCTACATCCCTATCCCTCTACCTTATATATCCACTCTCCTCCCTACGGAGTACAATATACACATCATGTCTCACGTCGACACACAGCTCAAGGATGTCGCCATCCTGGGCGCCATCAGCAACGATGCTCGCAAAATTCTGACCAAGGAGGCATGCGCCTTCCTGGCCCTGCTGCACCGCACCTTCAACCCTACCCGCAAGGCTCTCCTCCAGCGCCGCATTGACCGCCAGGCCGAGATCGACAAGGGTGCTCTCCTCGACTTCCTGCCCCAGACTAAGCACATTCGTGAGAACGATGCCTGGAAGGGTGCTCCTCCCGCTCCCGGTCTCGTGGACCGCCGTGTTGAGATTACTGGCCCGACCGACCGCAAGATGGTGGTGAACGCGCTGAACTCCGACGTGTGGACCTACATGGCCGATTTCGAGGATTCTAGCGCCCCAACTTGGGACAACATGGTCAATGGCCAGGTCAACTTGTACGATGCTATTCGCCGACAGGTCGACTTCCAGCAGGGTGGCAAGGACTACAAGCTTCGGACCGACCGCGCTCTGCCCACTCTGATCGCCCGTGCTCGTGGCTGGCACCTCGATGAGAAGCACTTCACTGTGGATGGCGAGGCTATCTCTGGTGGTCTCTTCGATTTCGGTCTCTACTTCTTCCACAACGCCAAGGAACTGGTCGCCCGTGGTGCCGGTCCTTACTTCTACCTGCCCAAGATGGAGTCCCACTTGGAGGCTCGTCTCTGGAACGACGTGTTCAACCTTTCTCAGGACTACATCGGTCTGCCCCGCGGTACCATCCGTGGTACAGTCCTGATTGAGACCATCACTGCCGCATTCGAGATGGACGAGATCATTTACGAGCTCCGCGATCACAGCTCCGGTCTCAACTGTGGCCGTTGGGATTACATCTTCTCCTTCATCAAGAAGTTCCGCCAGCACCCCAACTTTGTCCTGCCCGATCGCTCTGACGTCACCATGACTGTTCCATTCATGGAGTCCTATGTGAAGCTTCTGATCAAGACTTGCCACCGTCGTGGTGTGCACGCCATGGGTGGTATGGCCGCCCAGATCCCCATCAAGAACGACCCGGCTGCCAACGACAAGGCCATGGAGAGTGTTCGTGCCGACAAATTGCGCGAGGTGCGCGCCGGTCACGACGGTACCTGGGTTGCTCACCCCGCACTGGCTTCCATCGCCTCCGACGTCTTCAACAAGTACATGCCGACCCCCAACCAGCTGTTCGTCCGCCGTGAGGAAGTGAACATCACCGCCAACGACCTTCTCAACACCAACGTTCCCGGCAAGATCACCGAGGAAGGCATCCGCAAGAACCTGAACATTGGCCTCAGCTACATGGAAGGCTGGCTCCGCGGCGTTGGCTGTGTGCCCATCAACTTCCTCATGGAGGATGCCGCCACCGCCGAGGTGTCCCGCAGCCAGCTGTGGCAATGGACTCGCCACAACGTGACCACGGCGGAGGGCAAGCGCATGGACAAGGCATTTGCCCTGCGTCTGCTGCAAGAGCAGGCCGACAGCCTGGCAGCCAAGGGTGGCAAGGGCAACAAATACCAGCTTGCCGCTCGCTACTTCGCCGGTCAGGTCACTGGTGAGGACTACGCTGATTTCCTGACCAGCCTGCTGTACAATGAGATCTCCTCTGCTGGCAGCGCTGCTAAGCTTTAAGCGAGCCCTGATTTTTATGATGATGAATACCCTTTGTTTCTTTCTTTGTTCGGTCTGACATGAAAATGGCCTAGTCTACCATCTGGAGTTAGCATAATTGTAGAACAATTATTTCATTTCACATTGCTTCTTTTACGTAGGCACACAGCTTGTAGATGAATGACTTGCAACTAATTAAGTAGGAGTATATCGCATGTTGCGAGACACAGCCGATGATAGTAGAACTGACAAGCTTTCTTGAAATGGAGATCTGCAAGATCATCACTGCTGATACATTTATGTTCAGTTTAATTGATTAGAAAGGTCTTACGATTCACATCATTGCTAGTTTATCTTCCGTGTATATGTGCAAAACCATTGTGAGAACGATGATCATATGTCATAAAGAGGGACTTAGGGTTAGAGAAGGCATAATCAACAGCGAGAGAAGTACTCCGTACACTGTACATTCCTTGGCATCTTTTTCAGTACCATCTCTCACATCAATACTGTACAGTTCGAAGCCAATTTCCAAGATCAAACACTTTAGATATATTCCCAGGCAGCAGGGGTAGTAGAGTTTGCAGCAACAGCCAGAGCATCGAAGCCAATGCAGTCACGAACGTTTCCGGAGGGAACAGTAGCGTTCTGCATAGCAGCATACACCTGCCACTTGGGGGCAGGAGCAGCACCCCGACGTGAACGGCGGTATCCAGCAGTACCGTTGGTGATAGGGCAGGCCATGAAGCCGGAAGCGCCCTGTCCGTTGTAGCTCCAGTGGCCGAAAGAGGTGCCAGGAGTGTAGGCAAAGGGGCCGTCAGAGGAGCCAGCAGGCTCGTAGGCGGAATGAGGAGAGGTGAAGCGCAAAGCACCCTTGGGATCCACGTAGATGGCCTGGCCACCAGGCACCTGAACGTCGAGGAAGTGTCCTCCGGTGATGACGGTCTGGTTGGTTTCGGGAATGCCAGGAACAGGGGAGTAAGTGTGGGCGTTACCACCAAGCCAGAAGTAGCCGCCTGCGGCGTTCAGAGGCTGCAGATGGATAGGAGAAGCGGACCGAGCGGAGATCACGCCAAATGGAGCGTTGGAGCTCTTCTCCTTGGAGCCTGGAAGGGCAGCCACCAGAGGGGCGAGGGTGAGAAGGGCCGAGAACTTCATTTTGAGCTTAGAACGGAAGGAATTGATCGTGAAAAGAGATGTATCGTCTATGGAGCATGAGATCTGAGGGGGATCCTACGGGGGGTCATATATCGTTTGTACCTGACGAGCACACACTTTGGCAGAGGGGCATGGGCAACTCCATAAGCGGATCCATCTCTTGCGATCGACATAGGCGAAATCCCGGTAGAGCCGGCATGAAGATGAGATCCAAAATGTTGGTTCTGTGTTTTGCCCTTTGGGCAGAGGATCATGTCCGATCTACATCGTCAGCTTTCAACCCTGACAGCAGTTATTTCAGTGTGATCGCCGGAGACTGGATACAGATTTCGTCCAAATTGCCTTCCCACCTTCTCGGTCATATCAGTTGACTGAGTTAAGCTGATGTTATGTACGGAGTACTGAGTACGGAGTGCCCTAATCTAAGACAGGCACGATGATCCCGATAGGGGAAGCCTGGGAAGCCGGTTTTTAGCACGGGTCAAGAAAGTTCGACAACACGTAAAGATCGACGGAAATCGTCGGAAATCAGACATTTGTCGTCCACGAATAATGAGCAAGAGGATATCGGCCTCTTAGCTGCGTTGAATGAGCCCCACGACACACACTAGATCCACCTTGTCTCAGGACCCTGCTCGATATCATTGGTCTGCGCCAATTGTTCCATTGTCTACGGAGTACATACGGAGTACGATGTGGCATATATTGAATATGGCATGGAGAACGGAGTACATCAGGGTGTTATATAGAACACAAGGTACATCTTTGTATCCAACCTACGAGGTGTACAACATACATAACCTAGGATGAGCTACGCGGTATATACGGAGTATATATACATGGATTGCCCGGTTTATATCTAGGAGTATGGGTCTATCACACATGTCGGGTCTCTGTTGAGAATCCCAATAAGTCAAAGAGCTCACCCATGCAGTGACCTTGGATCTTTCTAACCATTACCACAGTCTCAACTCCACACAAACAATATACTCGCGACAGTTAACCAAACGCCAAACCCTTCTTGACTTCACCAACATATTGCGACTATGGCCTAGGTAACCCGTAGATATAATTGGACCCAACTATTGGTATAGCAGCAATGATCATCCGAACTACGTACTAGCACTGCCATAGTCGGCCACTATATTGTGTCAACAGGGAGTACTCCGTACTCTGTACATACCTTCTTCGGGCCTCACTGAGACCAAGTATAGATTTAGATTAAGCATCAGCATGGTAGATACGCTAGTTCTCTTCTTCGGGTAGAATTGGTAATCTCTGGATAATAATAGAACAGTCGTCTCTCGGTGGTAGGTGATTCAGATACATACATGTAGGTAGTAGCCAACATGTACAGAGTATGTAAGGGGGGTTTCCTACCTCCACAGGACCACTACGCTTTCTAGTCGCACTTATATACAGCCATTATTGTATCAAAGAAGTCAACCTGTGATTTAGGACTTACAGTTAAAAGAAAAATTCGGAATGGAGCTTGTCTTTTCGGAAGGGATGTAAAGACCCTTTGCAAAGGACCAGCCCCACAGGGATAGATCGTTGTATATGTTGATTAAGCGCTACATGCTGCAATTGAACTGAATTATCGCTATATCGACTCATGAAACATCATTGTCCGATGTACTGCAAGACACCGCGACAGAGGCACCTAGAAAGATGTCAGGTGACCAGCCTTCTTCGTGACGCGTCGAGAATCCAGTTACCTGAACACCTCCAAAGATCCCGCAAAATCATGGGCACCGAAGATTGAATGGCTTCCTCACGTCCAAAGGGAGTATTGCGCCAGGGCAATTTCTCCAACCCCAATCCTCCCACGCGTCACGGCTACACGTCCCTGCAGAATCCATCGGCCGAACAATCAACATCAGAGAGCAGCTGGGACCGACACGATGGCCTCGACACTCCATCTAGTGGAGATGAATCCTCCGACCAGATCAAGATGATCCCTCTACCAGTGAAACAAAGCAGACTACAAGATCCACAACCCTCGAGCGCTAAAGCAAACGATCAAAACCCCACCCCAATCGATGTACCCGACGACGAGCGTGATGTATCGAAGCGCATCAAAGATCTCCTTGGAGCGGATCGTGACTTGTTAGCCGATTCTTTTGCTACGGATTTAGAGGATGGAAACCCAAGCAGAAACTCGTTGGCCCTCAGCGACCGGTACAGCGAAGACTATGGTCTGCCATCGGATAAGGGCTTGCTATTGAACCACGGAAAGAACGAAGGACACAAGGAGCGCTTCAACTGGAGATCACTGTTTCGGCTGCATTCGTGGTGGAGCGTTCTTGGCTTTTTCACAATTGCGCTGGTGGTCGTGTGGCTTTCGATCAGGGGTCTGCCCTGGTCATCTACTACGGAAACCGTAGATGAATTCGTAGGTTCACTTTCATCTCCTTCGAACTGCTATTTCAGTTATCGGGATCCAGTTTCTAATAAATATAGCGAGCGGTGCCTTGGTACCCTACTCCTCCTGGCGGAACGAACAAACAATGGAAGGAAAGCTATATCAAGGCCCAAAAGATAGTCGGGAAAATGTCACTTCTTGAAAAAGTAAACGTGACAACTGGAACGGGATGGCAGATGGGACTTTGTGTTGGTAATACCGGTACGTCCTTGTTGGCTACATGTACTCAGACATGTGCGTACACTGACGCAAATAATGTCACCTAGGCCCTGCCGAACTCGTTAAATTCCCTTCCCTCTGTCTCCAAGACGGCCCTCTCGGACTCAGATTCGCACAAAACATCACCGCGTTCCCTGCAGGGATAACCACCGGCGCAACATGGAACCGCGAGCTTATGCGAATGCGGGGGTTGGCCCTCGGACAGGAAGCACGACTGAAAGGCGTCAACGTCCTTCTCGGCCCTTCTATGGGGCCAATTGGCATGATGCCTGCTGGGGGTCGTAATTGGGAAGCATTTGGTTCGGATCCAGTTTTGCAAGGCGTGGCGGCAGCGGAGACCATTCGCGGTATCCAAGAGAACGGGGTCATGGCCACCGCCAAACACTTCATTGGAAATGAACAAGAGCATTTCCGTCAGTCATTTGAATGGGGTACTCCGACTGCTCTCTCGTCAAATATTGATGATCGTGCTTTGCACGAGGTCTTTGCCTGGCCCTTCGCCGAGAGTATACGTGCCGATGTAGCCAGCATCATGTGCTCCTACCAGATGATCAATAACAGCTATGCCTGTGAGAACAGCAAACTAATGAATGGTATCCTGAAAGATGAGCTCGGATTTCAAGGATTCGTCCAATCGGATTGGCTGGCTCAGCGTTCGGGTGTTCATAGCGCTATTGGAGGCCTGGATATGAGCATGCCCGGCGATGGCCTCCATTGGACTGACGGTATCCCCCTCTGGGGAAGTGAATTGACTCGTGCAGCACTGAACACATCCGTTCCCATGGAACGCTTGAATGATATGGTCACTCGCATCGTGGCCGCCTGGTACTATCTCCGCCAGGACTCGTGGGAGCTACCCGCACCGGACGGAGAGGGTGGGCCGAACTTCTCATCCTGGACGAAGGAACGCATTGGAAAGTTGCACGAAGGCTCGCCAGATAATGACGCCATTGGTGTGGTCAACAAGTTTGTCGACGCACAGGGAAACGGCAGCCACGCTCATTCTATTGTTGCTCGTCAGGTCGCTGCAGAAGGCACTGTGCTTTTGAAGAACGTCAACAATACCCTCCCATTGTCGCGCGAAGGTTCCATCCCTAGTAGAAAATACCGGGTTGGTGTATATGGGGAAGACGCAGGTCCTGGCAAAGGACCGAATGTCTGTGCCGACCGAGGATGCAATCAAGGAACGTTGGCATCAGGCTGGGGCAGTGGCGCTGTGGATTTCCCATATCTGGTGAGTCCATGGGAGGCACTGCAGCATGCTTGGCCAAAGGATTCGGTTGACGTTCAGCCTTACTTGACAAACAATGTTGGGCCCGATGATCTCAAAGACCAAGATCTGTGTTTGGTCTTTGTGAACGCAGATGGTGGCGAAGGATTCATCCGCAGTGATGGCATTGATGCCGATCGAAATGACCTGTTTCTACAAAAGAATGGCACTCGGTTGGTAAAGGGTGTGGCAAATCATTGTGGTGGTGGCCAAGGGAAAACAGTGGTGATCGTACACTCCATTGGCCCCGTTGTGATGGAGTCTTGGATTGACCTTCCTGGTGTCCATGCTGTACTGTATGCCAATCTTCCCGGCCAAGAAAGTGGCAATGCTCTGGTGGAGGTCCTTTTTGGAGATGTCGATGCCAGCGGACGATTGCCATACACCATCGGGCGAAGCCTGGAAGATTACGGCCCAGGAGCGCAAGTGCTTTATGAGCATCCGGACCCGTCCGTTCCACAGGTCAAGCTCGATCAGGGCCTGTATATCGATTACCGTTATTTCGACAAATTCAACATCACTCCCCGGTTCGAGTTTGGTTTCGGTCTGTCATACACAACGTTCGAATACTCCGCTCTCAGTATCGAAAAACTGCAGCAAAAATCTCGACTGCCTGCCAAACGCCCCGCTAATGAGGTTGAACCTCCGACCTACGACCATCACCCAGACCATGCTTCCAGTGTCCTATTCCCTCCAGGATTCCGTGCTCTTCGCAAATACATATATCCCTACCTCACCTCCACCGATGGCACTGAACCTGGTCCATATCAATACCCCGAAGGATACAACCAACCCCAAACTCCATCTGCTGCAGGCGGCGGACCAGGTGGGAACCCATCACTTTACGAACCCATGCTTGAGCTCTCCATAGAAGTCACAAACACCGGTAAGCGCGCAGGGCAAGAAGTGGTTCAGGTTTATGTTTCCTTCCCAGAAAATGTCGCCGAACATCGTGGACTGGGCTGGGCCCGTGAGTCAATCGAGTTCCCTGATCGTGTGCTGCGAAACTTTTCCAAAATCCTCCTGCAACCAGGCGAGATTCAAATTGTCAAAATGAACTTGACTCGAAAGGACCTGAGTTATTGGAGCGTTCGGGCGCAGAATTGGGTTCTCCCTACAGAAGGCACATTCCATATTTGGGCTGGACATAGTTCTAGGGATCTGCCACTGGTGGTTGAGTTTTGAACTCTGGCAAGTCTTGATTATTGCCTTACCTTAGACTTAGGCGCTGGACGTCTGTATATAGTATTATCATTGATGCAGGATTCGACCAATACATTGGAAACATTACAACAGACAGCGTAGCCGATATAGACCTTCGAATCGACCGAGGCATGTCTATTCGAGCAATGGACTGTTGATCATCAGCTTTCTATCAGGCTCCATCAGAACGAAGATCAAAGGAAGAACGTATAAACTTTTGCTTTCGCATGGCAGATGCACTAAAGGGTCTATCCAAAACATGTACAACACTGGCGAAGCGGCACATAACAAATCTATGCCAGAAAGATAATATCAAACAAAACGCCAAAACACCGTCTATCAGATCCAATGCAGACCAAAACATTAACATGGTGCTCATGATGCGAGGATATAATCGGAATCAGTCTCCCAGCAATTACGAATCATAATGTTGTGGAGCATGTCTATTCGTCATCGGAGTCCACAGGCTTGGGAGTACCCTTGGGGGAGTTCAACTGTTAAATGGGATTAGCATATTGTCAAGAAGTAGAAACGACAACAAGACAAACTTACCCATTCGATATAGCGCAGACGACGGCGGGTCTCGCGCTCCTTCTGTTGGGCACGGGTCATCTTCTTCTTCTTCTTGGCACGGAACTTGAGGTCTCCAGCACCTTCATCGCCGGAGTTAACGGCTGAGGGGGCGGCACTGGTAACGGCCGAGCCGGTAGCAGGAGTACCAGGGCCGGAGGGGGAGTTGGTAGCGCTGTCCTCGAAACGGTCCAGGCTAACGGCGTTGTTGGTACGGCTCACGACGCGGCCATCGGCAATGTGCAGTTGCTCAGGGCAGAGAGCGCCGACGAACTCCTCGTTGTGAGAAATCATAACGACACCACCCTTGAAGTCGCGGATGGCAACAGCGAGGCCACCAAGCGAGTCACGATCCAAGAAGTTAGTGGGCTCGTCCAGGACCAACAGATGGGGGTTGTTCCACATGGCACCAGCCAAGACGACCTTGACCTTCTGACCACCAGAAAGACCGGAGATCTCGTTGTGGTTGGCGATCTCGGGATCCATACCAATATCCTCGAAGTGCTTGGTGATAGTCTTGGGGTCAAGAACACGGAAGCCCAGACCCTCACGGGAAGCCTCGTGATCGTCGAACTCCTGAACCAGCTTGAAGAAGCCAAGCTCAAGCAGGGTCTCACGCGAGATCATGGTGTTGTGCTTGGGAAGAAGACCAACCCACTTGACTTCGTACTGGAAGGACTTCTTCCACTTCTGACGACCGATCAAGGTCTCGATGCGACGGGCACCGCGGCCGTCACCCAGATCAACTGGCTTTTCCAGCTGAGCCTTGTCGGCATCGGTCAAGATACGGGTCTGCTTCATGAACACTTCACGGTCATCACCGTTGGCGTAACGCCACTGGAGATACTGGCTGGGTGTCTTCTCCAAGTGCATCTCAACGTGCTCCAGAGCATGCTGCTTGATGTAACCGATACGCAAGTTGGGGTGCTTCTCAACCTTTCCAGTCTGAGGAATGGTCTCACCAGTCAGGATCTTGATGAAAGTAGACTTGCCAGCACCATTTCCACCGATGATAGCGACACGGGAGGATAGAGAGAGTGACAACGAGGCGTCATGCAGGGAGGGGCGGGGAGCGCCCGGGTAGGTGAACGAGACGTTGCTCATACGCATAATGGCACGAGTGTGAGATTTGATGCCAGACAAGATACCAGGGGGAGGGAACTTGAACTGCACGTTGGATGCGGACAAAGTGTAGTAACTCTTACCCTCGGGCTTCTGCTTGACGAATTCAGCAAGGTTACCCTTGTAGCAGACAAGCTTCTTGCTCTCGTAGTGGTAAATGTCAGTGCAGACTTCATCAAGGAAGCCAGAGTCGTGACTGACGATCAAACTGGTGATCTCTGTGTGCGACTTCAAGTATTCTTGCAGCCACTTGACGTTTGCGACATCCAAGTGGTTAGTAGGTTCGTCCAGCAGAAGCACATCAGCCTTCTGGAGCATGGCACGAGCCAGGGCCAACTTCATCTTCCAACCACCGGACAGGGAGCCCACGGGCTGGGACTGGCGACCCTCGGGGCCATCAGTGAAGCCGAACTCGAGGAGAACCTCGCCAATGTGTTCCTTGCCCTGTGCAGCAATCTTGGGGTCCTTGGCAACATACTCGAAGATGCTCAAGTTGGCGTCTTCACCCTGGTTGTGCTCCACGAAACAAGTGCGCACCTCGCTTTGAGGCGGGAAGCCTTCAAGCTTCTCGTTTGCAATACTGCGCATCAGGGTAGACTTGCCAGCACCATTGCGACCACAGAGACCGTATCGGTGACCCCTTCAGAAGACGCAGTTTGGTGTGGGACAGCAGGAGCATACCGCCGTAAGCGAGGGAGAAATCGGCGTTGACAATCTCGACCTCATTGGGGTCATCCGGAATGGGCTTGCCATACTTGATTTCGTCCTCGGTTACGTAGTGGCTCTGGACAGCAGTGGCAACAGCCTCTGTGTTTCCATCCACGAGCAGACCGCGAAGGTAAGGGTCAATGCAGCCGGGGATACGGTCGTGCATACGGGAGTTGATATCCTCGCGGACCATGCCTGCGATGAAGTTCTTGGCCATATCTTGCAGCTGGGCGTCACCAAAGCCACCCAGGCCACCGTGCTCTTGGATCTGAGCGTTCAACAGGACCAGAACTTCCTCGGGGGTAGTCTTGGAGATCGAACCGGTAGCAACATCCTTGTCTCCCATAGCAGTCTCGATAACGTCGAGGGCACGGGTGGCGAGCTCACGGACCTCGGGGAGGGAAGCACCCTCCTTGACGGACTTCACACCGGGTTGAAGCTTAGGAAGGAAAGTGCGAGCCTCCGCAGGATCGTGGACCAGCTTGGTCAAGTTCTCCACAACGACAACGGTTTGGCGAAGGGTCTCTTGAGGAGTAGCGGGGGTATTGAGAGACCGGGCGAGCAAAGGAGTGAGCATGGCCAACACAGGAGATGTGACAATGGCGACGAAGGTGGTCTGGGACAAGGCGTGAATGGCCTTCTGGAGGGTTTGAGCGGAGGGGTTCTCCATAGTCTTGATCAGAAGGGGAATGCGGGGAGCCACATCATCGTTGGACAGAAGGGTAGTGAGGGCAGTCATGGTTTTGCAAGACTGCTTAACCACCTCGCTCTTCAAATCGTGCATGCCGGACTCAACGATGGGGATGAGTTCCTTCAAGGTCTTGCCCATTGCATCGCGCAGCAAGTCCTTCTGGCGCTCCTCGTCCTTGGAGCCTTTGCCCAACTGCGCCTTAACCGCCATCTTCTCAATGAGCGAGTAGGCACCGACGAAACCTTGCCACTTGCCGGAGCCCTTGCTCAAGTAGCGCTCAAGGGCAGGAAGCAGACCGTTGACCATGGCCTCGGGGCTGAGGCTTCCGAAGAGAGCATCAATGGCATATTGGGCAGCATCGCGCACAACGGCGCCCTTGTCGGCCAGGCCGTCCAAGGCGATATCAAAGATGCCTCCGTCGTGCAGGAGGAAGATGGCTTCACTGAGCGGAAACTCGCGGGGGAAGCGCTCGAACAGAGCACCGATGATGAGCATGGCGCTCTCGCGCTTAGCACCATTCTTCTTATCGGAAGCTGCCTTCCGAACTTCGGCGAGAACATTGTAGTTCAGCAGGCCTGCACAGCCAGCGCCCTGGATGAGCAAGTTGGTCAAGGCATATGCGCCATCGAGGGATCCCTGGGAGCTCTCGGAGGTGAAGATAGTGTTGAGAAGGGAGGAAATCTCTTCGGGGGTGGGGGGCACGCCGGAGGGGCCCTTTGCGACGACGGTCGGCATAGCGGGAGTCTCAGAGGGGGAGATCGTGTGGGGCATCGTCTAGAAGATGAGAGACTCAAAGGACGATTATCGATATCCAAAGAAGATATCGAAAAGACGATAGCAAAGAAAAGAAAGCCTTTGGTTGCAAGAGAGGGGCAATTCACCCTAACGAGGATAAAGGATCCTGTTCAGAGCGCAACTCGCGCACACACACAAAGAGATAGAGGATCGGGGTGAATCGTAGAGTATGTACAACACGATTCTTAGACACCCTAAAGACCCGAAACAACAAAAAAAAAGCAAAGAGGGGAGAGTGGTCAAAAAGAAGATGTGAAAACAATCTTCGCCATCGCCGATTGCTGACCCACCCGCACCGAATTTTTTTTTTTTTTGCTGAGTCATCCAGTCGACGGGCCCAGCGGAACCATGGGGCAGAAAGGCGTCTAACCCCATTCGTTTGATTGGACGAGTGACAGTGCTGCCTGAGTGCCTGAATGCCTGAATGCCTGAATGCCTGAATGCCTGAGTGGCTGAGTGGCTGAGTGGCTGAGCGACCCACTGCCTCAGGCTCCAAGATCCACTGTTGTGTTCTGCCTCAGGCTCCAAGGCCTGCACGTCATGCCTGGGCAGCATAGGCCGACAGGCCGACATACCGACGCTTAGCCCCAACTCTGACGGGTAAATGGATATTTGGCTGGCGATTTCGGTTTAGTCCCTTTGACGACTCGCCAAGATTCATCGGATAGAAGCAGAGTCCCTTGCATTCTCTCCATCAATCCGAGATAGAGGTCCAAGGCCCTCAACTCGAACCACATAGATATTCTATACCAACCAGATAGGCATTAAGACTACCTATGCGCAAACTATATAGCAATGAAGATAATAAACCATACAGACAACACATATTGCAACCCCCATTCATCCCCTGTTTCCCTCCGACTTGATCTCAGCCGACAGGCCGCATGCAACCGCCCCCGGGCCTCGGTAGAGACACCCCCTGTTCCCCGCGTTCAACCGAGTGCTGCATTGGCTCACTATTTCGTCGATCGTGAAATCTGACGGCTATCTTCTTCTTCTCGTATTTATCTTCAACCCCGGTTCCTCTCATTTTTGCTCAATTGCTGTTTGGCCTCATCCCCATTTTCCTCCCCGCAACAAACACTCCCGCCCCCGCAAAATCCACCCCCGGACCCCCCCCATCCACACTCACAAAATGGCCCTCAGCTGGAGATCAACCCGCCATGTCTCCAAGCTTGCTCAGGTGAATTCCAGTGGAATTGTTTGATTTGACATGTCTCGCTAACTTCTTCTAGGCAGCCCGCCCTGTCCTTTCGGCACGTCACTATGCGACCGCCGAGCCCGACCTGAAGACCACCCTGAAGGAGGTTATCCCGGCCAAGCGGGAACTCCTCCAGAAGGTCAAGGCTCAGTCTGAGGATGTTATTGGTGAGGTCAAGGTCGGAAATGTCATTGGTGGTATGCGTGGCCTCAAGGCCATGCTCTGGGAAGGCTCCGTGCTGGACGCCGATGAGGGGATTCGCTTCCACGGCAAGACAATCAAGGATTGCCAGAAGGAGCTGCCCAAGGGAACCACTGGAACTGAAATGCTTCCCGAGGCCATGTTCTGGTTGCTGTTGACGGGCCAGGTGCCCTCCACAGGCCAGGTCCGTGCCTTTTCGCGTGAGCTGGCCGAGAAGTCCGATCTTCCCCCTCACATTCTCGACTTGATCAAGTCTTTCCCCGCTTCGATGCACCCCATGACCCAGCTGTCAATTGCTGTCGCCGCTCTGAACACCGAATCCAAGTTCGCCCAAGCCTACGAGAAGGGCATCAACAAGGCCGAGTACTGGGAGCCCACATTCGATGACAGCATCTCCCTGCTTGCCAAAATCCCTCGTGTGGCTGCACTCGTTTTCCGCCCCAACGAAATTGACACCGTTGGCACTCAGAAGCTCAATGCCGCTCAGGATTGGTCGCACAACTTCGCAGAGCTGCTGGGCAAGGGTGGCGCAGAACACAGTGACTTCCACGACCTGCTCCGTCTTTACTTGGCTTTGCACGGAGACCACGAAGGTGGTAACGTCTCAGCCCACGCCACCCACCTGGTTGGAAGTGCTCTGAGCGATCCTTTCCTGAGCTACAGCGCTGGTCTTCTCGGCCTGGCTGGCCCACTCCACGGTCTGGCAGCCCAGGAGGTCCTCCGCTGGATTATCGCCATGCAGGACAAGATTGGAACTAAGTTCACTGATGATGATGTTCGTACCTACCTCTGGGACACCCTCAAGTCCGGTCGTGTGGTCCCTGGCTATGGTCACGGTGTTCTGCGCAAGCCCGATCCTCGTTTCGAGGCTCTGATGGACTTTGCTGCCACCCGTCCCGATGTTCAGGCCAACCCTGTCTTCCAACTCGTCAAGAAGAACTCGGAGATCGCTCCCGGAGTGCTTACTGAGCACGGAAAGGTATGTGTAATCTTGAACTCACCGGATCGTTTTTCTTTTTCTTCTTTATGCTAACTGTTCCTTTTCTTTTGCAGACCAAGAACCCCCACCCTAATGTGGATGCTGCCAGCGGTGTCCTCTTCCACCACTACGGATTCCACCAGCCCTTGTACTACACCGTTACCTTCGGTGTCAGCCGTGCTCTTGGACCTCTTACCCAGCTCATTTGGGATCGCGCTCTGGGCATGCCCATTGAGCGCCCGAAGAGCATCAACCTCTTGGGCCTTCTTAAGAAATAAATAACAATCAGGTAGCCCGGTGCCACCGCTAATTCATTGACCTCGACGGTCCAAATGATTTCAATGTGAAGCGAGTTTTCTCCCAGTCTTCTTTACGTTATGTTCCTCCCTGTGAAGGCTTTGCTTGTTTGCTGTGCTCTTATGCTTCTTCTGTTTCAAAAGACCGAAAGATATCGATAGACTTGTTGTTTTGCAAAAGGTCTACTTACTCAAAATTCAATTTGGGAGTATTTAATCCCACTCTCTGTACTCCGTACGAACTATGGTATATATCACAGCACACACAAGTGCAAGTTACATGGACCTCGATATTTGTGCAAGTAGTCTCAACGGTTATGCATTATGCAGGCTGCGACGCCATTCAGGCATAGTATATAGCATAATATCGAACGGAAATTTGCAGTTTATACGGAGTACAACGTTTCGGTAGTTCGAAACAATGATATCGGGGTACGCATCTCACAACCGGGCATTCCCACTGGACAAATGATCCCACTCTTTCTGTCCATAAGGCGAGTAGCTTTCTTCCCCCGGGGCAATCCAGAGGAACTTGTCACCTTTACCCTCAGGAGATCTGGTTCCAATCAGTGCAGGGTCCACGCCCTCTTCCCGGAGCGGTACCTTGTTCTGTTTATGGTTATGAATATGTGTGGGATTGTCAACGATGCGAAGGAATAGTGGAACAGCGTATCGTGGTAGTTTCAACCGGATGAACCTCGCAAGTGCTGCATAGTCAAATGTCCGGCGGGCATCTGGACTAATTTGGATGGCTGCACAGCCAGCACGTCCCTCATGATTGGGTAGACGGACACCGTAGACATTGGCCTCGTTAATGCCTGGGAATTGGCCTATGACTTCCGAAACCTCAGCGGTGGCCCTATTCAAGATGTCGCGTGATTAGCCTCCCTCTCAGCATTCAACAAGTTTATATTTCAAAGGCCCACGCAACTCACACATTCTCACTCTTCCAACGGAAAGTGTCCCCGAGTCGGTCGAGGAAATACCAACGACCATCGCTTTGGCGGCGCAGAGCATCTCCAGATCGATAGTAGAGATCACCCTTCTTGAAAACATCCCGCAAGAATTTTTTATTGGTCGCCTCATCGTTATGCCAGTACCCCTGGAAGGCCGCTTCACCCGGAATGTTCACGATGATTTCACCTCCTTGCTCATAAGGCGACCGAACTGCAAATCCCGTCTTAGCGTTTCGGAGAATATCACCAGTTTCTGGGTCAATGGCAACTGGAACGAAGGTATTATGCAAAATTCCCCGCATGAGCAGTCCATGATGGCCCACACTGCCAGATGTGAAAGGACCACAATTGTAGTTGAAGAGACCAAAGATTCCTTCTGTGCTATTGAAAAATTCGCCCACCTCGGGGACTCCAAATCTCTCGCGGAATCGGTCCCAGATGTCTGGCCGAAGACCGTTGCCATACATGCAGCGGACCTTGTGATTGCGGTCTTGGGGTGATGAGGGCACAGTGAGCAAATACCGAGCAGTCTCTCCGACATACACGAAAACGGTTGACTCAGAGTCCCGGATATCTGTCCAGAATCTGCTCACGCTGAATTTGGGAGCAAGCGCGATGCTCGTACCCATCAACAGACATGACATTATCGTGATTGCTGCAGTGCCATGGTACAAAGGCATACAGTTGTACCAACGATCACCGCCTGGTCCGTGTTTGTCTCCCATAAGGTTAGTGCGGACGAAGATAGTGGTATAGAGTCGAGCCATGGTGAATGCACAGCCCTTAGGCTTTCCAGTGGTTCCTGAAGTGTATAGCAAAATGGCCGGGAAATCGCCCGCCACGTACTTGCTCATCTCCTGGGGTGGCAGTGACGTAGAGAACGTACCGATATGCGCTTTGAGGGAGCTATCAAGTATCATAGGCTTCATTCCCAGATCACCCGTGATGGTGTCCTGGCATTCTTCAAAACGGGCACGACATTCGGCATCTTGATCAACCAGGAGAATTACCGAGTCACTGATCTTCAAGCAGTGCAGTAGGGCATCGCCGGCGAGGTTATAGTTGATTGCAGCAGGTGCACAGCCAATACTCCACAGTGCCACCCATGCGAGTATGTACTCGACACCGTTCTGGAGATAAAGAGCCACAAGATCACCCTTCTTCACGCCGTGTGAGAGAAAGAAATGGGCGTACTGACAGGCTTTGTCCTGCAATTCACGGTAGGTGTATGATCCCTCTCGAGTCCAGGCACAGATCATATCGGGATATCGCTTCACCGTGTCCAGCAGGACAAACCAAGGATTCCCCCGGTCGTGACGGACTAGGAGTCGCTTAGTATATGTCTGTCGACTTTGCCATTGGAGGGGAAATAGATCATACCCCCCGTGGCATATTGGCGATCGGCGTTTCTCGCGGTGAGCAAGCCTGATATATCCTTGTGCAAGTGGAATTTGGCATTCAAATATCCTGCGACTGTAGCCCCGCCCACCAGGGCAGCGGCGGCAGTTCCTACGAATCTGTCAGCTGGAGGCATTGTGACCAGATCTGTTCTCTGTATTGCCTACCTAGATCCATGTTCTCGATGTAACTTGAAGCGCAGGTATGTCAAAGGCCGAATGAGAAGGGTTTATTTTGTATAACCAGATTGAAGTAGACTCTAGAGCTATCGAGGAAGACAAAAGGCATCCGACAAGAAGGCATCGGCCAAGCACCCCCCATCCACACCTATTGACCTGGTGAGGGGATCATCCTGACCTCGGCCCAAATTTGGAGCTCCGCACGTTGGCCAGTGACGATGCTACTGGAGTCTGATTTATGATCCAACAAAAGCCAATGAGAGTCCAGTCTCCCAGTAAGGGATACCAATCAGAGTGTTGATTCGGTTGAGAGTTCCGTTGAAATGCGGGGGAGCTGATCTTCCTCGGCACTCTGTGTGCACAATCTTTCATCATTCGAGGTAATTTCGGTCTTTTCTTGAAATTGTTGAATTCATGGTGTCTCCAGTCTTTCCTCCAGTTCGTCTAAACATCGCGTAGTGAACAGTGGAGACTTGAGCGACCCGAGGATTTATCCTGTGTAGGCACATTCTTGCTTGTGCTGGGTATATGATTAGGTAGGAATCACCGATGGAGAACTTCGGCTCGATGGGGATACAGAAGAACTTCCCGTGCCATTATCCCATAAGGATAAGATCGCGGGTTCATAGTCCATCGACAAGCGCCATTCAATCATACCAAAAGGCTGAAGATGCACCTGCTCACGATGTTTCTCCCATCTATCCCATTCCTTCCACCCAAAGCCTCGTCCGAAGGGTCCCCACGGTGACGATGTATACACCCCCATCACCTTGTGGTCCTGCTTCTTCCGACTCTTCCGCGAGGGATGATTTGTAGTCTCGTCAAGCCTCAATTTGATGTTCCATTTCGCGACCGGGCAGGGAAAGTGAAAGGTGGTTCGGTCGGTTTCACGCTGAAATTCGACCTCGGATACTCCAGGAAGACATCCATGGTGATCTGCTGTTCAGTGTTGTCTATGCCGGTGGGGCTATGGATGGCCATCGATTGGCCTCTTGGATTACAGGGACGGGGATGGCCCAGGAATGGTCGTTGGACGAAGAGGTTGAGATGCGCTGAACTATGAGAAATGCGTTGAATCCTCAACTGATGCCCTGACCCACTCCACTGATCTTTTTTGACCTCAATGGCAGGCCCATCGAACCAAGAGCACCAATCTCCCTAATCGAACCCACTAGCTAATAACGGCCGTTTCATTGGTGCGGACCCCGGTGGATCGGAGGATGACGCAGCCAAAGAGCATCGAGCATCGACTGGCCGTGGACATTGGACATGGACTGAGTAGAACCGAGTCGAACGGTGTATATCCGAGACAGATATCCGTGAAATAGGTAGACAGGTAGACAAGGAAACCAGAAGAGAAGGGATATCCTGTTCAGCAACAAAAGTAACGGGCGAGAAAGACAAAACCCAGTCGAAGTCACCCAGTCACTGCACATGGGATGCCACCGTTGGGGACTCAACGAAGAATTCAACATTTGGCTGGGGGCTTCGACAGAAATTCCCCCAAAAAGGCCCAGGGACGATCCGAGAAGAGAATCAACGGAATGACGAAGAGAATCAGAATCACGAGAATCACGAGAAGAACGCGGGAGAAAGTAAACCTTCTGCAACCTGTACTTCTCCACTACCCCTCTTCACCTCTCTCTCCCTTTCCTCCCCCTGAATCATCATGTTGCTCCCTATTCGGTCATTGCCTCGGACACTCGTTCGCTCCTACGGGACTGTCCAGAGTCCTCCAGTGATCCCCATTACCCTGACCAATGCTACGGGCGCGACCGCTCCGCGAACCACCTGGACTCGAGACGAGGTCAAGCAGATCTATGAGACCCCATTGAGCCAACTTACATATGCGGCGGTAGGTAGCCCGTTATGTTGATCCGAATTGGAACTAACACCCCCTCCCAGGCCGCCGTTCACCGTCGCTTCCATGATCCCGCAGCCATCCAAATGTGCACCTTGATGAATATCAAGACTGGTGGGTGCAGTGAAGACTGCTCGTACTGTGCCCAGTCATCCAAACATAACACCGGCTTGAAGGCTACCAAGATGAGCCCGGTGGACGAGGTCCTCACCAAGGCTCGCAATGCGAAGGCCAATGGAAGTACTCGATTCTGCATGGGCGCAGCGTGGCGTGACATGCGTGGCCGCAAGACCAGTCTCAAGAACGTAAAGCAGATGATTTCAGGAATTAGGGAGATGAACATGGAGGTCTGCGTGACCCTGGGCATGATCGATGAGAACCAGGCCAAGGAGCTGAAGGAGGCTGGCCTGACCGCATACAACCACAACCTGGATACCTCGCGTGAATTCTACCCTACCATCATCACCACTCGCTCTTATGATGAGCGTCTTAAGACCCTCTCCCATGTCCGTGATGCTGGCATCAATGTTTGCTCCGGCGGTATCCTCGGTCTAGGTGAAAGTGACGCCGACCGCATTGGTCTCCTGCACACAGTCTCTAGTCTGCCCGCCCACCCTGAATCCTTCCCGGTCAATGCCCTTGTCCCCATTCCTGGTACCCCTCTTGGCGACCGCAAGATGATTCCCTTCGACCGCTTGCTGCGCACCGTGGCTACTGCCCGGATCGTCATGCCTAGTACCATTGTCCGTCTGGCTGCCGGTCGCATCGCACTCAGCGAGGAGCAGCAGATTGCCTGTTTCCAAGCAGGTGCCAACGCTGTGTTCACCGGTGAGAAGATGCTGACCACTGATTGCAACGGCTGGGATGAGGACCGCGTTATGTTCGAGCGCTGGGGATATTACCCTATGAAGAGCTTTGAGAAGCCAGAGGTCAAGGCTGACACTGCTCCTACTCCGCCTCCTGTGTACCCCGAGGCCACTGCTGCGCCGGCCGCAGCTAGTTCTTAGAATTATAGCTAGATCTGGGGTTGATAGACCAATAGTATCAATCATATTGATACCGCAATGGACTTGTAGAGGACATTCGTTGGTGACAACTTGTATGTCTCCCAAGCCAGAGTAATTAGCTTATGCATAACTTTCAACGTATAACAAAACTAACAATGAGGTCCGGGGCACTAAGCGCTACCTAGTTGTGTATCTTGCACGTATGCTGCCCACTGTATCGAGTATCAGCCGAGCCGGAATTCTCTATGATCCTTCCGAGGCCCCGAGGTCTTCCCCAATGGTCTTTACCCACCTTATATCGTTGGTTTTGAGGGTTTTTGATTTCATCTAGAAGAGTGGGCAGTTCTGAATACGATTAAAAGCACATTACCAATCACTTAGTTGTCGAAACCCCCATCTATGTTGATCGAAATCTGCAATACCGAGGCTCCAACGGAGCGCACAGTGTCAGTTCAACAGGTTGGCCCACGTTTTGCACGTCTCCTATTGGGCACAGATCGATCTGCACGCCAGAGATCGCAATGGTTCCCCTTTCGGTTCGAAGAATGTTCCGATAATCTCCATTTGGACGTCTAGCCCTGGTGAGGCAAGGTTAGCCGATCCTCAACGCTTGACGGTGCGGAGAATTTCACATGCAGACGCAGATCCTCACCAAACTGGCATCCTCTCTATTGGAGGATTTCCAGTTTACTCGTTGTCTACCTTTTGTTGGGGTAAATTGGTCCACACGAGGATTCACGGTCCTGTTCATTCACATGTTGCCCGCACTATGGCTTCATGGACATGATATAAGCTGAATCCCCCGGGATGTTGATGAGAACCAAAACCAAACATCCACTATGGAATCCAAACCGCCATCAAAAGATTCTATGCGATCAACATGGCGGACCGCCCCTCGCAGCGAGTGGAGCATCACCCACTACTTGCTCCATATCCTCAATGCTCACCCTATCGACCTAGACAAGGAGATACCCGTACACAGCAAAGATGAGAAAGTGCCATTTATGCCTCAGTGGTCTCTTCAGCGCTGGGTCCTCTTCTACTCTGCTATTCCCTTGCTCTTACACGAAGTCTACATGGCGCTTACTGGTCGCACAGTAGGTCCCATCACTGCTTTCAACTTCTATTCGTTGGCCTTCAACAGCACGGTTATCTACCAAGTCCATGTGCTTCGCCGGCTGGGTCACAAATATGGCTTCCTGGATGGCGACCAGCACGAACGCGATGGCGTCCCCGACGTCGGTGTGACCAAAGTGGTAACCTCGCTATATAAAACGACTGGCTCGCGTCTGGCTCTCTCCATCTTCCTATCCTATAACCAAACCCAACGACCCTCCGAACTACCCTGGGTGTGGCTCCCACTGAAAATTGGACTCTATGGCATTGTTCTCGATTTCTGGTTCTACTGGTATCACCGTCTGATGCACGACGTGAGCTACTTATGGAAATACCATCGAACCCACCACCTAACCAAACACCCGAACCCACTTCTGGCGGCCTACGCAGATCACGAACAAGAATTCTTCGACATGGTCGGTGTGCCGATGATGACTTATTTTACCCTAAAACTGATGGGCTTGCCGATGGGCTTCTATGAATGGTGGATCTGCCACGAATATGTCGCGTTCGCCGAAGTTTTCGGTCACAGCGGTCTACGAGTGCACTCGACAGTGCCATCAACGCTGAGCTGGCTGTTGCAAATTTTTGATACTGAGATTGTCATTGAGGATCACGACCTGCACCATCGCAAGGGATGGCGCAAGAGTTATAACTATGGTAAGCAGACGCGGCTGTGGGATCGCATTTTTGGCACTTGCACAGACCGAATTGAGTCGGTAGCGGAGAATGTGGACTATGAGAATACGGCTACGATGCCGTTGTTTTGATTGTGATTAGCATGGTCTTCTATATGGATCTTGGGGAAGCTGGAGGGGGATGCTTGGTGCGCGTGGTGGCTGCAAGTATATTGTACCTCGCTCTTTTAATGAATTATACCCTAACCTGAAATGCGAACTTATGATATTCAAGAGGTGTGTACTAGGTATATGCCCGCATACTTTAAACAACATTTGAGCCTCGCAGTAAGCTGTATGTCGTCTCCGTGGATTCAGTGAACTTTATGTACTTCCCAAGTAGGCATCGGAGTCCCTCTGTCAAACACACATCTTGCTTCACACTTCACTTCACTTGTTTTATTTTGTTTTTGTTTTTTTCTTTTTCACGAACCTTCCTCTGGCGCGCTTTGCCTTCAAAACACCTTCCGTTGACTCATCACACTTCCTCGTCTTGCCTGACTGCACATTATGAACCCACAACGTAGCAACCAGACCAGCGATGAGTCTGGGGTCTCCCGCGTTGCGCCAACTTCCCTCGCCGATATAGAACTGACAAACCACTTGTCCGAGATAATTGACACGAGGCGAAATGAGGAGCTGGAGTCCCGACTTCAAATCAACCGTGATGCAGCACCACTGGATGTCCTGGCCAGAGTCCTCAGCCTCAATTCAACGGCCAGTGGTTTATCGTCATTTACGATGTCGAATCAGCTTGGTCACCCAGAAGCTGTGGGCTTTAGAGCAATCGGCTTTGGTCAGTGCGGTATCATATTTGAAAGGCCTGGTCGAGGTTACGTGATCAAAGTCGCAAGACCCTACTTCGAAGAGGCCCTATGGAACGACCTCCAGGTGCATGCGGCTTGCTACCAGGCATTTGAGCGGCAGCAACCGCGTTTGGAAGTGAGAGTCCCTCGAGTGTTGTCTTATGTTCCGCGAGCCAACAGAACTTGGTGGGATACTCATTTGCCTCTTTTCCCTCCCGAAAGGACGGCCTTTCCCCTCCCCTCTATGGCGTTGATGACAGAACGTATTCTTCCATTACCAAAGATTGCGAGGCAGGCTCTCATTAATACCTACTGCCCGGCTCCCTCCCAGCTCGCTGCCAGCTCTGAGCCCACAAACCGCGATTGCCTGGCCCGTATCTACCTCGGCCGTCGACGCCCGCTGATCCGTCCACCACTGGCCAACTTCACCCTGAGGAATTTTAGTCTCTTCTTGGACCAAATGGTTGAACTTCAGTTTCCGATTCATGAATACGCTTATGCCATCGGTGAAGCATTGGCTGTGATCCACTGGTCCGCACACCTTGACGCATTTGACGTTGAGTTTGTCCTTGGCAGCGAAAGAGAATCTACATGGGACAGTTCTATACATCTCGCCCTGGGAGACATCGGAGAAGCGCTCTCGGCAATGCCGCCTCATACAGATATTGAGACCTTGCTAGCTGTGAATTTCAAGCGACGTACGACGCGTCTCTGGGTTCTGGACTTCAATCTCTGCAGTACCTGGCAGGAGAAACAAGCCTTGGATGAACCAGATAATTTGATTGAGCAACTGGTTCACGCATTCATCGAGAACGACCCCTACTATCCACGGCCGCTCGCAGATCTGGAAACCGACCAAGAACTTTGGCGAGTATTTTCTTCTGCATACCACAAGAAGGCAACCAACATCTTGTCAGTGCCAGGAAGGGAAGCCAGAATATCCGAATTGCCCCAGAAATTTCTGGATGCCTGTGTGCTGAAGCAGAGAGGGTGAATAGCTTAGCTAGGAGTGAGTTGGCTACCAGGGCTCATAGGCTGAGATGCGTTGAAGCGAGAGAGTCAAGGAGAAGTGGGCCGTGCATGCGTTCTTCCAAGGAATCTTATTGCTGTATTATATATGGAAGTTTATGGACACCTTCGCTGATTGTGAACAGGAAGTCGACTCCCTATAATGCTTTGCCGAGTCCGGTCAAGGATCTCAATTTTACCCTTAGAAATAAGATACTAGGCAACTACACAGAGAGATGGGTCTTCAATTCGGCTAAATATAACCCAGGTCCCATTTTTAACAGTCTCAATATTCGCTCTGTCGTAGGTCATCTAACATCCGAGACCACCGAAATTTCGACATGCTTGGTGATACCTGGGGGATACAAAGGAGGCGAATCGGGGGCCTCTCCCACATGTGTACTATCTTGCGCCCCCTGATCACGATCCAAAATGTAGTCAACGCTGTTGTCCTCGAGATCGGGCTTGAATCTGTGGCTGTGACGTGACTGGTTGGTCGCATTGGGACCAGCGGCCGATTTGCAACCATTGAAGGGCAGACTTAACTCATAGCAACCTGACACCTTGCCACTAGAGATTTTCCGCGCCGAGGAAATGATCAAAGGACGGATACAGGGGATTGAAGAGGTGATAATGATGATGACGTTTTCAGTGTATCCCCAGCGGATCAGCTCGATGCCGCCGCTAGCTCCCATATTCGTGACGCTGGGTATAGAGCTGAGTTTCGTGGTCTTGATGATGGATGCAACCATTGCACTAACTCATTAGTTTCTTGTTTCTGTAGCATCTGCCTGCACTGGAGGAACCTTGGAACTTACACGATGCCCAAGTTGAGAAGAAATATCAAACTGATTTTGAGCCTCCGCTTTAAATTCAAATTCCAAAACATAACCGTTGGGAAGACCGCCAAAAATAAATCAGTGGCCGAATTGAAGGTATTGGAAAAGTAGGCGAATTTGATCACAGCGTGGGAATCCCCACAGGTCGTCGCGATTGCCGCTGCTCTATCCCACAGGGCGGCTGGATCACGACAAATGCTGAGTGGTAACACCGCCGAAACAACATTGCCGCAGAGTTGGAGGATCAACACCGTCCATAGTGCGGTCTGATGGTGTTTATTGGTTCCAAGGAGAGGCAGGAGGTAGAGAATAAAGGCAGAGCGGGCGAATGTGGTGCTGAAGGTGATCAATGGCACTTGGAATGCGATTGACTTCAAGACAGCTTTCTGGTCAGACTGTGGTAGTGTGAGGAGATTCTTGCCAAAGCCATGTCTGACTGACAAGGTTAGGAATACCGTTGACACGATTGCCAGAATCTAGAGAACATGGGAGTTAGTATACATCATACATTAAGTAGATCAGTCCCAGACGACGGAAGACCTACCTCGGCCAGGACCATCAGGCCATCGTCAAAGCCCAGCCGTTTAATTTTGACTTTCGCCACGAGTCGTAGGATCACGATCACCGCTGTGATGATCACAGCGGCCCAGATCCCCTTCTCTAAGGGTGGACCAAGATCGGGTTGCGACATTGCCGATGTGACAGCTAGCCCAACGGCATCATGAAACGGGCTATTTTGCCTCCAGGTATGAGGGTCAGCAGGGATAAAACTATATTTATAATCTGCATCACCAACCGCTTCAGGGCTGTAATCCTGAAAGGCTTAGGCGACCGAACATCCTAGTGTTAGACTTAGGGGTGTCGTCAACCTGGTTCTAGTGCACCTCGATCCAAGCTAATAGTTCGTTCTGGGGAAGAAGCTTCAGAGGATGCATGAGCCGTGGGGCTATACGGAGTACCCCTGCAATGAAATCTCGCTGCGACTGTTTGAGAGACGACAATGTCTCAGGTTCTCCTATTGGCGAGGCCAGCATGATTTGCATTGGCCAATGGGAGAACAATATGACCGTGCAATTTCCACATCTTCATCAGCCAATGCAAGCCTCCTTCGAAGCGAACAAGGATGCCCTCTTAGTTGCAGTAGGGCTCTTCGGGTAGGGGCTGTGGCGCTAGGCTGAGCTGTTGATTGGACCGGGTTGATCTTTTTGTTCCCCGGAGATTGCGCATCGCAACCGAGAAGATGTTGCGTTCTGGAAATGGAAACAATATCCGTGAAGATTGGATTCAGGGGAAGACTGCAATTGGTGTCTACGAGGGAAATACTCCGGACATGGACTCGAGTGAACCGTACTTCCGCCCTTCGGCATGCCAGTTGGCCCCCCAATTCCGTCTCGGGAGTCGGGATCCTCCCGATCCACACTTAATTGCACCGCTGGAGGTGCGAGACTAGACGCGTTGGGGAACATCTCCGATATGATGGACTCGTGAGGATCCAGTCTCGAATACATAAGGGAATCGACGCCTGTCCAATCGACAAGCGTATCCTCCATAACCATGAAGTGGTCATTAGCTTCCCTCGTGGCTCTCGGCGCATCGGCCGTTGCGCTTGAATGCCACTGTTTACCGACCGATAGCTGCTGGCCTGCTCCCTCGGTCTGGGACTCACTGAATAAGACGGTCGATGGCCGGCTGATTGCGACCGTCCCTATTGGGAGCCCCTGCCATGCACCGAACTATGATGCCGTTGCATGTGCCACACTCAAGGCTGACTGGTATACCCCGGAGCCTCAGTAAGTCCTCTATATTTACCGCTGAAAATTGCCACTAATCGCCAGCAGCTGGGATTCATCCTCTTCGGTGATGCAGACGTACTTTGCGAACCAGAGCTGTGACCCCTTTGCCGACAAGTCTCAGCCCTGTCGCCTGGGCAACTATGTCAGTTACGCTGTGAATGTCTCTTCCAACGATCAGGTCATCGCTGCGGTGAACTTCGCCCGCGAGAACAACGTCCGTTTTGTTATCCGTAACACCGGCCATGAGTAAGTTGCACTGGGTCTTCTCTCGTGGGATCAACGCTGATAATATGTAGTTATCTTGGTCGTTCCACCGGTGCCGGGGCACTCTCTGTATGGACCCACCACTGGAATGATATCGAGTACAAGGACTGGTCGGAGCCGGCCTACCAGGGCCCGGCATTCAAGGTCGCTCCCGGTGTGGTTGGATTTCAGATCCTCGAGGCTGCCGCTGCCAAGGGCCTTGTAGTTGTGACGGGCGAATGCCCTTCTGTTGGTCTCGCTGGTGGCTACACCCAGGGCGGCGGCCACTCCGCACTTTCGACCCAATTCGGCCTTGCAGCTGATAATACTCTTGAGTTCGAGGTTGTCACTGCTGCTGGCAAGCTGGTCACAGCCTCACGATCCGAGAATGCCGATCTTTTCTGGGCCTTGAGTGGCGGAGGTGCTGGCAACTATGGCGTCGTGACATCCTTGACAGTCAAAGCACACAAGGACGCACCTATCGCCGGTGCCGCTCTTCAATTCACCGCAGCCAACATCAGTACCGACACATTTTACGAGGCTGTTTCGCAACTCCATTCTCTGGTGCCAGCCATGGTCGACCAGGGCGTCAATGTCATCTACCAGATGACTTCTCAGTTCTTCCTCATCGCGCCTGTTACAGGTTACAATAAGACCACCGATGAGGTCAAGGCCATTCTGAGCCCCTTCATGTCTGAGCTCACAAATCTCGGCATCAAGTACGACGCCAGCTTCACGCAGTACGACTCGTACCGCGACCATTACAATAGATACATGGGACCTCTCCCCTGGGGAAATTTGGGGGTGGCTAGCTACCAGTACGGCGGCCGTCTCATTCCCCGCCAGACCCTGGAGGAAAACCCCACTGGTATAGGCTCAGTGCTGCGCAATTTCACTCAATCCGGCCTGGTTGCTGTGGGAGTTTGCCTGAACGTCTCTTCCCCAGTCAATGTGTCGAATGCAGTATCCCCAGCCTTCCGCAACGCAGCCATAACGATGCAGTTCGGCACACACTGGGATGATACCGCCTCGTGGTCCGAGATGGTCGAAGACCAATACAAGATCACAAACGAATTCGTGCCTCAGCTCGAGGCCCTCACTCCTGGCAGTGGCTGTTACCAGAATGAAGCCAATTTCCGCCAGCCAAACTGGAAGGAGACCTTCTTCGGTTCCAATTACGAAACCCTTCTTGATGTTAAGCGCAGATGGGATCCTTCTTCGTTCTTCTATGCGCTGAAGGCTGTGGGCAGTGATGACTGGTCTGTATCCGAGTCCGGCCGAATGTGCCGGGTCTAAGCTTACAGCAGCGTGCAACATAAGGCTATTTATGGATAGGTAGGCTGGAGCAATACCTCGGGGGATGACTTTAATACACCACGCGAGGTAAATAAGTGGTGCAAAATGACTGTTTTACGTATCAATGTATATAGTTCTCTCTAGTATCTACATCACGGGCATCCATTTTTGGCAGAGTGGGAAAAGAATCCTCAACGCAATTTTTGCTGAGTCCCACTGACAAAAATCCAGGATTTTAAATGAAGTGGCTGAAATGTACTCCACCATAGCACTAGCTTAATTTCTTGGATCTCTCGCTTCTTCCACTTAAGCCAAGGCCGCGATCCAACTGCACGGACGTTGACGCTGCACACCGGAGTGGGCCTTCGGGGCTCGCTTCATAGTGGACTGCGGATATCAGTTTGGCTTGGTGGGTTTGTTTCGCCCACACAATAAGAAGTTTCTTTACAATTGGAACGGACGGAGGAAAAAGGTAAAGAATAATAATAATAATAGCATGCTAACATCATGCCCAATAAAAGCTCATCTATATGCAAAAATCTCTAGAAACAAATCGTGTAATATCGTACAACGTGAAGGTGTACCTCCAAATACTCCTACAGAAACAAACTTAAACCACGGCATTGTTGCCGCAGGAGAAGCTGTTGCTGGAGGAGTTGTCGTGAATAGCCTTGCCAGAGACGTAAAGACCCAGACCACACATGCAACCACCGATCAGAATGACACAGACATTCACGATAGTGAGCGCAATCTTGCGGGGAGAGGAGAACCAGCGGCCCTTGTTGATGTGCAGCCAGTACACACCACCAAGGCCGTAACTGAACCAACTGGCGAAGAGGGAGCTAATCAGACTCAGCAGATCACTGAACACGGGAATGGCATCAGCAATGATCCATGCGATAACCCAGCAAGTGAAGCCAATGGCAACCCAGGAGCCAACGGCAACCAGGTCGCGCTTTTGCATGCGGTCCGTTCCACGGAACAAACGGACGTAGATGTACTTGAGGCCGATGTGGCCGTTGACGACACCAGCACCGATAATCTGCGAATATTAGCAAGTGAACACAAGAAAACCAAGAAGTAAGAGAAACATACAGTGGGGATGGCAATTCCATAAGCGACCTTCTTCAGGATAGGACCGGCAGATCCGAGAGCGGGAGAAACAACATCCTGGCCAACGTAGTAGTAGATGACAACGGCAGCGACGACGTAGAAGATGATCTCGAAGGTCTGCAGCAAGAGCAAAGCCTTGGGGAAGTCCCGGGGCTCCTCCATCTCAGCAATCAGGCCGAAGAAGGCAACGTGGGCACAGTAGGCAAAGACAATGTTGGTAACAGCGCTGAAGGCCTGGAACAGATCGGTATCGACAGTAGCCTTAAGGCCCACACCACCCTCGTTCTGGACACCAACACCAATCATGGTGATGATGACGGCAGTCAGAATACTCAGGAAAGCTATTCAAAGATGGTTAGCATAGGATTCCCCCAAAGTTTCCGGGGAACGAGATGCACATACACATGCACGAGATGTGGGTCATGTTCTTCATAGTACGGGGCAGGGAGAAGACGAAGCAGATGACGAATCCAACAAAAGTGAAAACCATTGTGCAAGTACCGTGTTCGGTGACGGTGTTCATCATGATACTGAATGTCAGGATGTGACTACCCATGATGAAAATCGAGAAGAGCAGCTGGCCAATACCAAACAGCTCACGTCCAAAAGCACCGAGGAGAACCTCGCCTGCATCGCCCAAGTTTTGAATGTGAGGGTAGCGCATGCGGAATTGGTAGATCGTGTATCCAGTGTAGGTAGCGAGGAGTCCCAGTCCAATAATGAGGATAAGAGCCGGGGCGAGACCCAGCTGGGCGAGGGTCTTGGGGAGGGACAGAACACCGAGAGAGACGGACTCAGCAATCATGACTAGATTCAAAGAATTAGAGGCGGTTCGTGAGACATGATGTACAGCTTGATCTGCAGACGTGCCAGCACTTACACATTCCCGTTTGCCTAATATAGAATTAGCACATGCTGCCGAACATGCGAGTCTTGGGTTACGCGCAACTTACCACCACTTCATAGTTTTGTATTTGACCTCCGCACCTTCCTCATCACCGAAAGCATCCTGATACTTGGGCTTCTGATCCCCCATCGCCTTCTTTTCAGTATATCCAGACTCCGAATCAATCGGGTCCTGGTGGGGCTTCACTTTATCGAAAAGCATGATGTCGACGCGTATAGACTGACAGGGAAGAAGTCAAAGCGGAATAGAGAGAGAAAGAAGAGAAAAAGGAGCAGAAACCTCGACACTTGTATGTGTGCAGAAAAAAAAAACTGCTTGGCCAAGAGGTGGAGCTTTCCTCAATATCAACCGAGCGATCCCCGGCTTACAGTGTATGGAGAGTTGGGGGATAGAATTCTGGGGCCCGGATCTTGTAGAACGGCCATATTTTATCGATGGCGATACGAATTTCGATTGCCTATTCCCATTATGTGTTGAATATTGTGCCCGTAGGCATTTTCAGCCAAAAAAAAGCTTTGATGCCGAGACCATCGACAGAAATTAAGCGTCGGTGGATCCACTCTTGGACGCGGAAGTGGAATGTTTAAGGGCCACTGCTGGGCCGAACCGCCAATCAGAGAATCGGCTCGGAAACCTATTATCTGGGCATACAGCTCGGGTAGACTCCAAATTCTCTCGGGTAGACTCGAAATATTATTATGTCAGCACCTAGTTTGGAGTCTACTACAGATACCATATCTCAGGGGGACTCTAAACTAGGTGATTATATCAGCCATTCTTGTGTTGAAATTTTTTTATTGATCCCTATCCATAGTATCCCTATCCGCTTCCTTATTCGGGTATATCCAGTACCTTTCTTTAAACAATAGACTTATTACCACCTAATCATCCTCGAAATCTTTTTCATCCACCCTCATTTTCTAATCTCCTTAAACCACGCCTACTCCTAGAGATCCTCGAAGAAGCTAAGATTTAAAGGCAACTCCATAATCTTCTAGGGTATCAAATCCCTCCGAAAACTTCCCTACCTATAGTTTAAACTTCCCTACCTATAGTTTAAACTATTAGATCTCGCGTTTAGCCTATTAGTTTTCTACCTTTTATATATACTTAATATATACTAAGCTTCCCTAGCCTATAACTACGGATATCTAGTCTTCTCCGTCTATCCTAGACTAAGATCTACCTAAGAATTATTCTAGTAGTAATATAGACTCCTCCCTTAACTAAATCGTTATCCCTACCGAACTAGTTCTTATTAACGTTATAGGCCGAGGGAAAGTCTATATATCTAAGACCTAAGACTATCTTCTTCTTCCCGACTACCCTAATACTAATAATAAAGGGATTCTATATATTATTTATATAGCGAAGAATCCTATTTAAGATATAACTCTAACGTTAAAGGCTATTAATATAGTATTTAAGTAAATTATATCCGCTATACGTTTATATATACGCTATATATACTTATTATAAGTCTAACTTTTATTATAGTATTAATTTTTAATCGACGTATCTAAGACTTTAATAACACTAGTCTATATAAGATTTCTCGGAAAAGTTATACGCGATCCGGAGTTAAAAGCCTACTACCGATCTTATATCTACTCTAGGATTCGACACTACTATTAAGTACACCTAGAGCTTAAACGCCCGTTACTATAATATAATAGGGTTATACTAGAGCTCTTTCTTAATCTATAAGCTAAAGTTATAAAGCCTAACTATAAGAGTAAGGTATCTAACGAAATTCGGGATAGAATAAGAGAGTATATACTTTCCTTTTTATCTTTAATATATATTAAGCTTATATATAATATAGATTTTACTTTGGTTTTATAGAGGTATAGAACTATAAAGATAGTCTATACGAGTACTCTCTAGGCGTCCGGACGTATAAGGGTATATATCTAATTATATAGACTAAAAATAGTTTTATATTTATTAGCTATTCCTATAGCTCTCTTTCTAATAACTAGTATTACTTAAAGAGTTTCTAAAAGACTATAAACTAGTTAGATCTAGATATTTTATAGGTCCTCTATTTAAGATAGGGTAATTATATAGGGGTTACTAGTATTAATAACTATTATTTTATCTAGTAATAAGTAGGGAAGACTATAATATACGGTATATTTACTACGTTTAAATATATACTAGATATATACTAATTATATAATAGATTTACTTTATATAGATAGGATTAGTAGGATAACCGCGACTATATATAAGGCTAGAGTTAATCTTTATATCTTAGTCTTATAGGCGTGGTTCCCGTACTACTTTATTATCTACCGGGGATCTTATTCTTATTTCCTACTACTACTAATAAAGTTACTATTTAAGATAGGCTAAGAAATTATAAAGGTATTTAAAACGTAGGATATCCTTAGCCTTATATACCGTAAGTGTTTTACCTCTAAGCTTAGGAAATACTAACTCTATCTATAGGTAAATTTTTATAATTATCGGAATTCGCTAAACTCCTTTATATAAGTACTAGATCTATATATAAAACTATCACTTAATATTTTACTATTTATAATAGGATTAGTACTTTAATCCTTAAGTAAAGGATCCTTTACTACCCGTAGGGAATATATCTTACCGGTATATTCCGCGAGTTCGAATTTAATAGAATGAAGGATAACGATAAGTAATTTATCCGTGAAGTCTATATACTAGATAAGGCTTAAGGGTACTTCCTAATTATATACTATATATATAGCTAAGCTAAGCTTTTCTAAAATATATAGTATATCGAAATAGATCTTACTTTTAAGATAGTATAGGGAAAGACTATAGTCTTTTTAATTACTAGATATAATAACGAGGCCCGAAGTTAGTATATTATACTAAAGATACGATTATTTTACTAATATATTTAGTACTAAATACCTATACTTAGGCTCTTATTAATACTAAAAGTCGCGAATACTATCGTATTCTTTTCGAGAAGCTCTTTATAGTCCTTAGGAATATAGGGCGAAAGCCTATACGATAGTTATACTAACTTAGTAGTAGTACGGAGATAATATAAAGTATCCGAACTATTACTGTCGATATATATATAAAATAAGGCCCTAGTATATTAATTATATATAAAGTATATATTATAGCTATATTAACTTAAATTTATATTCTAAGGCTTTAGCGATTATCTTATAAGTCTTAATCCTCGTCTAATATAGTTAGAGTATCTTTAATATATACTAATTATATACTATATATATATCTAACGTATATTTAATAAGGTATACCTTAGATATCTAGTAACCCCTATAATTAAGCTTATCTATAAGGTAAGGTCTAAATAAGAAGTCCTTAAGATTATAGATAATACTATAGCGGAGTGGCTAGAGACTAAGACTTAGTTTAAGAATAAACTAGCTAGCTAGATTTTTATAGGTATTACTCTAGAAGCGTCGAAAATTCCTATCTATTAGTAGATAAACACTCGACGTTATACTAGAATTAGTAAAAGTAGCTATTACTAAGAGAATAAAGTAGTAGGTCGAAAGTAGGCCTTATTAACTATAATTCTTAGGTAAGTTTTCTTTTATATATATTTAATATAAGTCTAATATATCTAAATAGGTTAAAAAAATATACGCTAAATATTAAGGACTATATATATATAAAAACTATTAAGGGTCTTCTAATATTATAGAGGAATTAGAATCGTATTATAAAGATTATAAAAAGCGTTCGAAAAAAGGGTTAGTTTATTATATACCTAGTTTATATTAAACTAATACTAACTATAATCTAGATAAATAAGATCGTAACGCTATAGCTAAACGTATCGCGAAGCTATAACGTATATTTAATCCCGCGAATAGATATAATTAACCTAATCCTCTAATATAGCTACTAAACTATACTATAGTATCTCGGGGTTCTTCGGTCTATTTAACTAAAGGAAGTAAGTATACTACACTACGTATAGCTCGGTCTAGTACTCGAGCTCTATCTCCTCGGGAATCTTAAACGCTAACTCTATAAGTGTTTCCTTATATACCGATACCTAGTATCGAAGAGACTAAAGAGATAGAGCTAGTAAAGGAACTAGAAGAGCTAAGGAGGCGTGCTAGAATACGAGCTATACGAGAGGAGAGAGATAGGCTACGTCTATAGCTAGGCGAGGGTAGCTAATTTAGAAATTTCCTCTATATATTAAAATATAACACTTATTTTAATCTTATTTTAACCTTATACTCTATATATACTTAGTAGATCTAACGTAAATATCTACTTAGTATATACTTAGTATATACCGAGTAGATATTAAATAATATAAGTATATAATTTAAAATCTACTAATTCTTTACCCTTTTTTTCGGTCTTCCTTCCTCCTCCTCTTCCTCCTCCTCTTCCTCTTCCTCCTCCTCTTCTCCCTCCTCTTCTCCCTCCTTTTCTCCCTCCTCCTCCTCCTCCTCCTCCTCCTCTTCTTCTCTACCTCTCTTTTTACCTCTAGATCCTAGGGTAGGCGTAATAGGTGTAGTAGGTATAGTAGCTATCTTAGGCGTAGGGGTAGGTATAGGGGTAGCTAGTGTTAATATAGGGGGTGCTAGTATAGGGGGTGCTAGTATAGGGGGTACTAGTACGGGGGGTACTAGTATAGGGGGTAGTAGTATAGGGGGTGCTAGTATAGGGGGTGCTAGTATAGGGGGTACTATAAGAGCGGTAGTTATAGCACTAAACCTAAGAAAAGGGACTAGGGGGATATCCGCCCTACGCTATATAGATTATTAGTAAATATTAAATAAATATAGGAGGGTTATATACTTACTCTACGTCGGCGTTAACTAGATCCTAGGGTAGGCGGTGTTAGAAACCGATAGAAACGTTAACTAAATCGAGCCGTAAATTAAGTATTAGTCGCACTATTTATATAGTTAGTATATATCCTTATAAATAGAAATTATATCTTAACTTACGTAATACGCTCTAAAGCGTCACACTAATATCTAACTAAACTATTCTTAGGGCCGCGGCTAGGCTTATAGAGATAACTTACCTATTACTAACTACGAGTAAGAACCTATCGCTTAATTGCATTTTATACGGTAATTATTTAGTCCTAAGTCTTCTATCGGCGGTTAGGTATAGTAGCTATATTAATAAAGGTTAGTATATACTAAGTATATATAAAAGGAATAACTTACTTACGCTAGAATAATCTTAACGTAAATATC